CTCCACGCCGGACTCCCACCCCGCCGATAACCACACCGACCATGGCGTCGACGAACGGCCGTTGACCGGCCACGACACTCCCCAAAATGGAGGCGGCTCGCACCAATGGGGGGTGCTCTTCAAAGCGATCAAAGACGGCACCTCGCATCTGGCCGAGAAGCTGGGCCGGGACCCGGACGGCGGCGACGGACTAGACTCGGCCTGGCACCCGGAGGACTACGGATACCAGGAGGACATCGAGATGCGGGACATGCTGGCGCCCGGGGAAGGTGTCGCGGACGACTCGTACGGCAGCCAGCTGCAGTCGCTGCTGGGCGCGGACGCCGCCATGTTGGTCAACCGGTTGGGGCTGGCGCGCGAGCTGCAGGCCGGCCTGCCGCCGCGGACGGCCGAGGAGGAGGCCGCCGAGAAAGAAGCCAACCTGGCGGGCGGCGTGCTCTGGCACCTGCTGGGGCATCAGATGGGCCATGATCCGGAGAGGACGACGACGAACACGACGACCACAACCGGTGGGACGACACTGGTCGGAACAGAAACGGGGACGACGCAGTCCGAGGACGACGCGCTGGGCCCGCTGCCGAGCGAGGTGCGCAAGCGGCGCAAGAAGAAATGGTACGCGGACGCGGACAAGGACCCGCGCAGCGCCAAGGAGCGGCGCAAGGCGCGCGAGGCGCGGCTCGCGGAGAAGATCGGCTCGCTGCTCACGCGCCAGCGCTACCTGATGCAGCTGTGTCGCGTCATGATGAAGTGCGGCGCCCCGACCCACCGCCTCGAGGAGTACATGCAGATGTCCGCCTTCGCGCTGCGCGTCCACGGCCAGTTCTTGTACATCCCCGGCTGCATGATCATCTCGTTCGACGACCCGCTGACCCGCACGGCGGAGGTCAAGCTCGTGCGCATCATCCAGGGCTGCAATCTGGGCCGCCTGGGCGAGGTGCACAACTGCTACAAGAACGTGCTGCACGGGAAGCTGTCGGCCGAGGAGGCCCTGCCCGTGCTGGACGACATCCTCACGCGGCAGAGCAAGTGGCGCACCCCCTGGATGATGGTGCTGATTGCCGGGCTGATCAGTGTGGCGGTCGGGCCGTGGGCGTTCGGCGCGCGGCCCATCGACATGCCCATCATCTTCGTGCTGGGCCTGCTGATGGGGTTCATGCAGTACATCCTGGCGCCGCGGTCGGCGCTGTACTCGAACGTGATGGAGGTGTCGATCGCGATGCTGGTCTCGTTCCTGGCGCGCGCCTTCGGCAGCATCCGCCACAACGGGGAGTACCTGTTCTGCTTCCCGGCGATGACACAGTCGGCGATCGCGCTGATCCTGCCGGGGTACTCGGTGCTGTGCAGCAGTCTGGAGCTGCAGTCGCACCAGATCACGGCGGGGTCGATCCGGCTGGTGTACACGATCATCTACTCGCTGTTCCTGGGGTACGGGGTGACGGTGGGGCTGACGATCTACGGGCTGATGGACGACCAGGCGAGCGAGCAGACCTCGTGCTCGGCGGAGAGCCAGCTGATCTACGGGAACACGTACATCCAGCATTTCGTGTTTGTGACCATCTACATCGCCTTCGCCGGCATCGTCAGCCAGGCCCGCCTGCGCCAGCTGCCGTTCATGTGCACGCTGGGCGTGTCCGGGTACGTGGCCAACTATTTTGCCACGACGTACCTGAGCAGCCAGATGGCCAGCATCATCGGCTCGTTCACGATCGGGCTGCTGGCCAATCTGTACAGTCGGGTGTGGCACGGCCACGCGGCGGCGGTGATCGTGCCGGGCATGTGGACGCTGGTTTCGTCCGGGCTGGCGTCGAGCGGGTCGATCGTGGCCGGGTTGCAGTACGCCAAGGCAGTCAAGGAGGGGACGGCCAACACCTCGTCGAACTCGATGGTCGAGTCGCTGTTGAGTCTGGGCGTGAGTATGGTGCAGACCGCGCTAGGGATCACGGTGGGGTTGTTTCTGTCTGCCTTGGTGGTGTATCCGGGGGGGAAGCGCCAGGGCGGCTTGTTCAATTTGTAGCGTGTGCATTTCGCAGTCTTCTTCTTGTCTATAGTTTTCTTGTCTATACTCTGTCTGTCTTGCATTTGCGGGCCTAGTAGCATTAAGCATGGGTGTTTGTATCTGTCGCATTACCCCCTTCTTTTCAAATCCCAACACCCTCAATCCTAAGCACTGGGGGGAATGTACCGTTCCGGGGGAGAACCCCCGGACCCCCCTTTCTTTCAGCTTCCCAGTAAAGCTCATAGTAGGCATCAAGCAGGTTAGGATACATTATAGGATTCAAGATCGAGTGTTACTGGGAATCTGAAAGAAAGGGGGGTCCGGGGGTTCTCCCCCGGGAAACGTCTATTGCAGGCATTAGGATACGGGTGTCTGTCTATTGATGAAATGTGCTATATCAGCATGTGCACGTTCACTCATAACACAAAAGCATGAGGTTTTGTCTACGTCACTCTCTACCATTAATCATATAGTATACCCAGCCGTATGTCGAGCACACGCTCCCCCCATCTGTCGTCTCGTGCGAATAACCCTCTACTCGTCAAACGCAGCCTCCTCCTCCCTCTCCCTCTTCCGATCCCCCAGCGTCGTGCCAATCTGCCTGACCACCAACCACGCGGGGAACACGGAGATGGCCCACAGCCCGAAATTGAGATACGTGCCGCCGACCGAGGCCATGATCCCGACGCTGCTCAGCCCGTACTGCCACATGTCAGTAAATTTGAATCCGTCATTCTGGTACGCAACTCACTGAAACCGCCTGCACGGCCGACTCAGTCCCGCGCAGGAGGGCCGACAACCGCACCACCTCGCCTTTGTTGCGGGCCAAGTTGCCCACCACGAAGTACCTGCGCACCGCGTCAGCGACCACCAGCCTTACCCTTTCTCCTCAGAGGAAGGCCCACTCACAAGAACATATAATTGACCTGAAACATGGCCACCCAGAAGAGATAGAGCACCCAGCCCCTCGCAAACCCGGGATCCGCCCAGTCGAGCGCCGCCTGGTCCTTCTCCCGATAAATCGAGGTAATCACGGTGGCCCACACCCACACGCCGCCCTGCAGGGTCATGACGACCGCAAAGACCCCCCTGGCCTTTCCCTTCAGGCTCCCGCGGGAGTGGTCAAGCACATACCCGAGCCCATTCCCAGCCAGGAGGGCCAAGCACCCGGACAGAAAGCTCGCCAGCGCGCGGGCGCGTACGCTGAACCAGAGATCGAGGTAAGTGAACATGACGGCCTCGGTGTAGATGGCCTGGGCGATGAGCGGGAGGATGAGGAGCACGTTCTTCGAGCCGAGGAGGCGGACGGTCTGCTTCAGCTCCGCGCGCACCCCGTCCTCCAACAACCGCAGCTGCACGCGCACGCCATCGCGGCGCTGGACCTTCTCCGGCGGCGTGAGCAGCATCCCCGCGACGGGGCCGCAGGCCTGCAGGGCCACGAAGACCAGGAAGACGGCGTAGCTGACGCTGCCGGCGGTGTTGCGGTCGACGTTCAGGCCGAGGTTGATGGCGCCGCCGAGGATCTGGCCCCCGACGCGGAAGGAGAGCCACAATCCCAGAAAGAAGCCCTGGCGCGCGGGTTCGGGGTACGCGAGCGCGATGCTGCTCTCCGCGAGCCAGAAGAGGCCCGCGCTGAGGCCGCAGAGCGCCGCGCCCAGGAGCAGCAGCCACGAGCTGTGGAACCGGTTGTTCGTGTACAGCCCCGCCGCGTACGGCGCGTAGCCGATCGTCCCCAGCATGAGCGTGTATTTCACGCCGATGAGCCGCACGATCGCGCTGCCGAAGAGGCACGAGACCACCATCAGGCAGAAGGTGAGCGCGTTGGCCGCGTCGACGAGGTACGGCGATTCGCTGCCGCCGCCCCCGAGGGAGTTCATCGCCGTCCAGAGCCCCGGGGCGAGGAAGTTGCAGAGCCCGAGGATGAGCGCGTTGTAGGTGGTGCTGCGGTACCATTTGGGTTTGGCGGGAGGATGGGAGGGGGAGGGGTCGGAGGGAGAGGGGTAGGGCGGCGGGCTGGGAGGGGAGGGGGTTGTTGAGGTTGGGGGGAACTTTTCGGACATTTTGCCCGGTGTGCTGTGTGGATTCGTTAGAACGAAGGGGTTCTAGCACCGAGTATACCAGTGAAGGTATCTGGAACGAAGAGAGGTAGAGGTCGAGGTCGAGCCGTGTAAAACAAGGGATGACCCCAAATTGTTATATACTGCACCCGACACGCCTTGCATCGTGCAGATAGGCCGTAATCTAGACCCTACCCCCCCAGGAATGTGTCTCGGTCGAGAAAGTTGCCATGCTGCATGTTGCAGGATGGGGTGGGAATTACGTGCTCGCACGGCATTTTAGCCTGCAGATGTAATCCTTAGCCTCGATGTCATCTTTAATTTATATCGCTGGATAAGAAAATAAGCTAAGCCCCACGTGAGCGATAGCGGGAAAAGAATTCCAACCCGCCAACCGTCCCCTGTCCCTACCATGATGAACACCCCCTCATCCCCCTTCTTTTCAGCCTTTCAGCAACTTCACTTCTAAGTGCTGGGGGAATATACCGTCCCGGGGGAGAACCCCCGGACCCCCCTTTCTTTCAACTTCCCAGTAACACTCAATCCTAATCTAACTGTCCTCCTGCAGTACAGCCGACTAACCAGTGACCACTAGCCCTAATCACATCACCCCATAAACTGGGCAAAGCCCAGGCTGCCGGTCTCCCCTGTATGTTATATCTATATCGACAGTACATCTTGTGCCGTTCAATGCTTACTACAGATAAGCTTTGCCAGGAAGCTGAAAGAAAGGGGGGTCCGGGGGTTCTCCCCCGGAACGTGTTAATTCTAAGACTTAGGGTTGAGTGTGACTAGGAAGACAAAAGCCCATTAACAAGACACTATATAGTAAGTAGTACGCAAGTAGTCAAATTACCGCTGCATCCTAGCCTCTCCGTCCCGCGAGCAGCATTCCTCCCCGCCCTTCCCGGAAACCCCAACCCAGCACTATACCAAGTGGGAAAAGTCTACTCCCGATCCTCGGGCGTAAACACCAGAACCCGCACCTCGATACTCTCCCTCGCCTCCTCGTTCTCGGTCCCCGGGATCACAAACGCGCTGTGCGGCACGCGGCGCGCGCGCCCGTCCGTCTTGCTATCGTAGCACTTGATGAGCGTGACCCAGTCGGGCGTCTGCGCGTGCCGGTAGTACCATTTCGTGGCGGGGTTGGCGCGCACGGCGTAGGTCTCGCCCTCGCGGTCCGGGTAGATCAGCTTGATGGGGACGAGGTCGGCGTCGTCGACGGTGTGCGCCTCGGCCACGGCCAGCGGGTCGCGGCGCACCGTCTTCAGCGGCCGCCACACGTTGATGATCTGGTGGCGGCCTTTCAGGAGCTCCGCGGCGTCGTCGGGGAGGTGGTGCGAGACTCGCGAGACGGCTGCGGGAAAGGACTGGTCGATGTGCACGCGGTGCACCGGGGTGCGGAGCTGCGCCTGGGCGTTGGCCGCGGGGCGGCGGATCGTGTGGTCGAAGATGTAGGTACGGGTTGCGCCGGTCCTGCACCCAGTGGTCATTATCAGTTGGCGGCTGGAAGGCGGGCGGAGCGGGGATATATAAAAGGTGGGGGGAGGGGGAATGGAGGGGGCGAAGGGAAAGAGGATGGGAGGGAGACGTACACTTCCTTCAGCAACCGATCCACCTCCGGGTAATACACCCGCTTGATCTGCTCGTCATCCAGGAAGTCTTTCTCCGCACTGGCGTGAGGGTGGAACTGGAAGCCGTTGCCGTCCAGCGTGTACTCGGCTTCGTGGCCGCTGACGTCGTGGATGGTCGTCGGCACGGCCTCGGACGGCCGCTCGAAGGAGTCGGCTTTGCCCGCGTAGTTGGGCCGCAGGTGCGAGCCGTCTTCGACTTCTTTGATGTAGTTCAGGACGGTGTGGACGTCGTGGGGGGAGGTCCGGGGCTGGGGCGTGGATTTAGTTTGTGGGGGGAGGGTGTTAGAGGCGGGGAAGGAGGGGATGTCCCCGGTGGGGAGGTGGACTGCTGCTGCGGCCATTTTCTTTCTGTGTGACTTGAAGTGTGGTATAGATGACCGTGGATGTGTCTGGTGGATGTGAGGAGAGCAGATCTACGCCGCTATCCACGGTTATATATCCCACCGCGATGGTTGCTGTGTGCTCACCACACACGCACACAGCATTTGTCAGACAGAGCACGTCATGCCACGCTGATAAATCCAACCTACCCTCCAGCGATAATTGGTCGTCACATCTCGGACGGATGATGCAAACAGCATAGCATTGTACTCGTTCATATCCATGTGATGTCGGAGCGCTATAGACAGGGATGTCTTGGAGGGCGCCAATTACAAAGAACGCGGGGAATGCTGATTTCTAATCCGCTGCAAGGAATGCATCCGACTGCTCCGTCGCTTGCACCGAGGACCTCTACCAGAAGTGGGAACAAACAGTACTATTGGAGATTCTGGGGCTGTGACGCTCGAAACGGTGGTCTGATTATCAATCTATCTAGAACTCGTATACGCGCACTAGTTTGGTATGGGTTGCTCCGTCCTCCACCTCGGCCTTTTCCTCCTCCAGATGATATCCGCCCCACCGGGGCAGCAGAACCGTCCATACGTACCAGTATAGCACTCCAAACACGATTCTACAATAGTTAGCAAATGCCGAGAGAAACGGGGCAGGGTGCGAGGATAGGGGCAGAAACATACACGCCAGTTCCAACAATCGCATACGTCGCGTAGAAGAAGCCCACGTCGCCCTTGCCGCCCTCTGGCGGGAAGAAGGGCGACGCCAACAAGACCAAGGAGATGAGCACGCGCAGCCACACAGCGGGCAGCCATGCCTTGAACGGACGCGGGAGGTCGGGTTCCTTGTAGCGAAGCAGCAGGAGCCCTAGTGTGACAGCTAGACTGAAGAACTGGCCCGGATAGCCTTCGACATCCAGGATAAAGTTGTAGACGTCGCCTTGGGGCGGCAGGGCAATCACCAGGACGGAGGGGATGTAGTGCACGATCAATCCACCTAGCGGTGCTCCGAACGGTCGCGAGGACGAAAGCACCTTTGAGCAGGGCAGAAACCCCTGGCGGGCAATCTCTTGGTTGACACGGGCCTGACAGCAATGAGCATTGACCCCACTGAGAAGGGCGATAGAGGCTGGGGACATACCAACGCGAAAGTCACTACCATGACGTTGCCAGCGGCCGAGATGGCAATGGCCAGAGGAAGCAACGTCCTCCCGATCTGATTCCCGAACAGCCGCTCAAACAGCAGCGCTGCCACGAGTTCTCCGCTGTTCTTGATCTCCTCGATCGGGACCACCAGAAAGTAAGAGACATTTGCCAGAAAGTACAGCGCCCCCGCCGTCAGGAGCGCCGCAGGACACACCGTCTTGAGAGTGCGAACGGGATCTCGCACCTCGTTCATGACGTTGTTCAAGTTACTCAGCCCAGCGTACGAGTAAATGACCTTGAATAGAGACGTGGACAGCAGATTCCAGCTCCAGTTGGAGTCCTCCCACAACGAATCCCACGAGCTGAACACACTTCCCCGCTCATCCCCAAACGAGGCATCCGTCTCGCTGGGCGGACGCACGAGAATCACCCAGATGCCGGTCAACGAGATGGCCCCGACCAGAAAGATCTTCAGCCATCCCAGCACGTTCTGCACCCAGATGCCCGTCCGCAGGAAGAACCCGTGCATGATCGTGACAACCGTAATCAACCCCAGCGCCAGGACCTTGTGCTGCAGCTCAGTCGGCTCGACATTGAACGCGAAGAAGGTGTACTTGGCGAAGACGATGCAGTTGCTGGCCGTGAACCCCAGCAGCACCGCCTGCACGGCGATCAAGGTCGAGGCCAGGAAGCGCGGCCGCGGGTAGGTATATTCCAGATACACCTGCGGATGTTATGTCACTACTCAGACTGTTCCCCTCTATGCGAGAAGATCCATGCCAGGCAAAATACCTTATCGCCGCCCGAGCGAGGCAGCATGCACCCATACTCCAGCGACACGGCCAGCCCACACGCGGCGAGCACGGTGCCCACCCCCCAGATCAACAACGACAGACCCACGCTCCCCGCCGATTTGACGATCGAGCCCGGGGTCGCGAAGATGCCGCTGCCGATGACGCGGGAGATGACGAGGATGTACGCGCTCGTCCAGGTGAGGGTTTTGGGGCTGTTGGTGGCCGGTCGGGCGGCGGATTCGGCGTCGGGCACCTCGTCCGGGAAGACGGGTGTGCTGGAGATACCCAGCAGGGGCTGTCGTTCGGCTTGGGTCATGATGGATCGGTGGCTGGATTTGGTGATGGGGCTCAGTATCCCCTCGAGGTGGGAAGCTTTAGAAACAGGAACAGCTTAGATACCCAGTTCAAGGTGTAAGCAGCAGTTTGTTTGGCGTGGCTGCTTGGAAATCAGCATCACACGCAGGCACGTCATTCTGTGCGCATGTTGTGTGTTCATCCCAGCTGATAACGACTTATCTCAAGGCGAGAAATCACACAGCCTCGGGGAGGTGCGTGGGAATGACACGTCCGAGGAGGTCATGCCGGAAGTGTCTGTAGAGGTTACCTATCACATAGTCGGACACCTCTTGAGCTGATCCGTCCGACCAGTGTGTGCTGAATATAAGATAAATCCAGCGCAGGTCGTCCCCTGGCAAACTGATCCATAACCCCCAGCCGATGTTTCAGGAAACGAACGCTTGAAAGCAGGAAGGCGACGTCGTCAGCAGCGGTCGCAGTTGCGTGCCATCCCCTCATCCGCCACAAATCACATCATCAGGACCGGGATACATGCCATTTGCCTGCGGTGTAACCTGGTTGGTGGCTGCGCTCGCCCTCCCAAAAACTGGTCGAACTTAGGGCTTTCTGCCCTCATCCGCTTTTTCGACTGTCTCTCACGGATCCCAGTCCCGCCATGATGAGGCAGAGTGACGAACTGGCGAGATTAGATCCGATGACTGTAATATGGGAAGCTGCCTACTTTTGTGTCTTGTGTCTTGTGCCTTTGGGGTCATCATCCCTTGGATGCGACCGACGATCATGGTCGCATCCTGGACGGGATGATACCATCGCTGCGTGCTCAGCACGCCATCCCACCCCCGCCCCGCGCAATGCTGCCCTTCCCCAGGCGCGATAACTGGGTTTTTGCTGGGCGATTATCGCCAATCGATCGACCCTGTGGTCCGTGTGTTCCGGGAGATAGAGATAAACCTGCAGAGGGTGAGTTTCTCGGCCGGGTGACAAACGCATACATATCTGGATCGCGCGGGGTGCAAAGTTCCTGCAAATTCCATCAACTTGTCGTTCGTTGTACAGAATACACGCACGCAAGCACACATATCCGGCATCATGACCACGATAGCGACCTACACCGTACCTCCCTCGCTGGACGACAAGTACCCTCTCGTGTACGACAGCCCTGTGCGGGTTGAGCAGCGCTACTACCCCGAGAGCGAATCGATCGAAGCCCCAGCCCCAGCACCAACGCAGGCAGCGCCGCAAGCCACTCAGCGCGCCCTGCTCCTCCACGGCATCGGACAAGAGTATACCCTCGTGACCGATCATGCCATCCCGTCCATCCTGGGTGAGGAGGAAATCCTAGTCAAGGTATGACTGTGCTTGTACGCTTCATTTAGCTCCTCGACTCTGACATATCTGCAGATCCAAGCGATCGGGCTCAACCCAATCGACTGGAAGGGCCCGTACGTGTCTTCCTTCCCCCCCCCCCCCTGCCCCCTCCACACAACCCACTAACAGCGACGCAGAGCGTATAACTTCGGCATCCCCGCTCTCCCCTGGATCAACGGCCGCGACCTGGCCGGCGTGGTCGTCGCCGTGCGCGACCCCGTTCACCCGCGCATCCGCGTCGGCGACCGCGTCCTCGTCCCCTCCACCGACTACCGGGACATCCGCAAGGCCGCCTTCCAGCAGTACGCGGTCGCCACGCACTTCAACGCCGCCCGCATCCCCGACCAGACGGGCGTGCACGTCAGCGCGTCGTTGGGGGTGGCGTTTGTGGCCTCGACTCTTGCCTTGGGCGTGTCTCTGGGCCTGGATTTCTCGACGATCGCCGCGTGTCCCGGCCCCAATCTCGTGGATGCCGTGCAGTCGGTCGATGCAGCGGAGATCCCGGCCGACGTGTGGGAGGAGTGTTTCTCGGCGGTACCGGCGCAGGACCGCTTGCGGAGGGGCGAGTGGCTGGTTATATGGGGGGGTGAGTCTGCGTCCCTTTCCCTCGTTTCTTGGGGTTGTGGATGCACTGTCCGGTTGTTGAGTGAAGATGACTAATTTATGATAGCCTCTACAACCACGGGGATGATCACCCTGCAACTAGCGAAGCTAGCAGGCCTGAAGGTTCTCTGCGTCACCGACGTCGCCCGCCATGGGGCGCGCCTGCACGCCCTCGGGGCGGATGTGCTGGTCGACCGACACGATCCCGCCCGCGCGGTGGAGATCATCCACGGCGTAACGGGGGGTAAGCTGCGGTATGCGGTGGATATCGTGGGGCGGGAGACGGCGACGCTGCTGCAGGGGGTGTTGGATGCCACGGTGCGCGAGGATGGCTCGCATGCGCATCTGCTGGGGTTGACGGGATTGCCCAAGGAGCGACGGGCCGGGATCAAGTATCATACCGTGCCCATCAAGCTGTTCCATTCGTCGGTCGGGGTCGGGGAGAAGATGGTCGCGTGGTTGGAGGAATTGCTGGCGTCGAACACGCTGCTGGGGCCGGAGGTGGTGCGCCATGCCGGCGGTTTGGAGGGGGTCAACGCGGCGCTGGATACGCTGCGGCAGGGGAGTGTGTCGGGGAAGAGGATCGTGGTGGACTTGGAGGGTTGAGCGGGGTCCTAGGGGAAGGTTGTAAATAGTTTCAATAGATTGGATTGTGAATAGGCATTAAAATGATACAGGTACAGTACTTGAATACACCGGCTGATTCGATACGGAGCCGGCAGGCTTGGCACTGTCTTAGGGTTGACGTGCTGTATACCCTTCATTGAGCATTCTACAATTCCCCTTAGGATAAACATCATGTCACTCGAAAGCACCCCTTGACATTCAGCTGTTGCGATAATGCGTGTAAACCCCCACTGCCAAGAGATCACAAATGGCAGGTAAATCAACCCGTGTCATCATCGGCACCGCATCTGGCGCAATCGAGGCCGCCTCGCACGTCTTCCGAGACCCCTCCATTGGAAGAATGTTGCGACACAACCTCTCGGGCGAGTCATGAGGGGTAATTTGGTGGCCAGGACCGATAAGAATGTTTATCTTTCTCCAATTCCGCCGCATATAACAAATAACCCAAGCACACACCACCACCATACGCAAGACTGCACTTTCTCCCTGCCTCCCACACCCCATATCCCTCACCTCTACTCTTACTCGCAGGAGTACCACAATCGAGGGTAAGGCTTCAAATCAACCAATTAATCAACAAACCTCGTCTCTACTCGCCAACCACCAAAATGGGCTCCTCCACTCCCCCCAAGAAACAGCTCATCCTCAACGCCTTCGCCATGCAATCCCCCTCCCACCTCAACCCGGGCCTGCACCGCTACCCGCCGGACCAAGGCCACAAATACACCTCCCTATCCAATTGGGTGCAACTCGCCCAGAAGCTCGAAGCGGCCAAATTCCACGCCATCTTCTTCGCCGACGTGCTCGGCGGCTACGACGTCTACCGGGGCCCGGCCAACCTGACGCCGACCATCCCGGCCGGCGCGCAGTTCCCCATCAACGACCCACTCTACAGCATCCCCGCCATGGCCGCCGCGACGCACAGCATCAGCTTCGGCGTGACCGCCTCGACGACCTACGACGCGCCGTACGCGCTGGCCCGCCGCTTCTCGACGGTCGACCACCTGGCCCAGGGCCGCGTGGGCTGGAACATCGTGACCTCGTACCTGGACTCGGCGGCGCGCAACTTCGGGCTGAACACGCAGATCGAGCACGACGAGCGCTACCGCATCGCGCACGAGTATCTCGACGTCGTGTATCAGCTGTGGGAGGCGTCGTGGCGCGACGGGGCCGTGAATGCCCATGGCGACGGGGTCACGGGGTATGCCGACCCCGCGGCGGTGCGGCAGATCAACCACAAGGGCAAGTATTTTGACGTCCCCGGCCCCCATCTCTGCGAGCCGAGTCCCCAGCGCACTCCCTTCCTCCTGCAGGCGGGCACGTCGAGTGCCGGGAAGAGCTTCGCGGCCAAGCATGCGGAGGCGATCTTCTTGAACGGCCAGTCGCCCGAGCTGGTGCGCCCGTCGGTGGATAGTGTGCGTCAGCAGGCGAAGGAATTGGGGCGGGATGCGAATGCGGTCAAGATTGTGGCGGGGGTGTTGGTCATCGTCGCGGAGACGGACGAGAAGGCGTGGGAGAAGTTCCGCGAGTATGGCAAGTACGGGGACAAGGAGGGGGCGCTGGCGCTGTTCGGGGGCTGGTCGGGTTATGATCTGGCCAAGTACTCGGATGAGGAGGATTTCCGGTTCGTCGAGGCCCCCGCTGTGCGCAGTATGGTGAACCACTGGGCGAAGACGGTGCCGGGTGGGGAGGGCAAGAAGTGGAATAAGGCGACCATTGCGGAGTATCTGGTCATGGGCGGCAATGGGACGAAGATCATTGGGGATGCGAAGACTGTGGCGGATGAGTTGGAGCGCTGGGTCGAGGTCGCCGATGTTGACGGGTTCAATCTTAGCTATGCCAGTGTGCCAGAGACGTTTGATGATATCATTGAGTATCTGGTGCCGGAGTTGCAGCGCAGAGGGTTGTTTCATACCGAGTATGAGGTGCCAGGGGGCACGATGCGCGAGAACTTCTATGGGGTCAGGGGGCAGACGAGATTGCCGGAGAGTCATCATGGGGCGAGGTATTTCTGGAAGGAGGGGGAGGAAGTTCCTAAGTATACTTTGCAGGAGAAGGAGTAGTTGGGCCGAGAGGTGTGGGTGAAAATGTACTTTACAAAATTTAATGCTATTTCACATTGATGTGTTGAGAAAATAGTCTGGCACGGTAGCCTCTGCTTGACAGGATGTCGTCGATGATTAACATGTGTTCTTTATTGAAGAAAGACTGCTCATCATTCCTAGAACCAATACGTCTTCCCCGCTATGCTCTCCGGATTGCCTGTAGTCCCCGGTGCCACTCCCACCTCACGCAGCCTGGCTTTCAACCGCGCAGTGACTGCCGCCGGATACTCGGACGACGAGTGAGCGGGACCCTTCCCCGTCGCGGCCATTTGATCCGTGAGTTGATTGTCGGTCCTGAAGAACGGCACAGAGAGAACACCGCTGGCGTTGGCGCATGCCTGATACAGTGCCTTGAACCTCTCCTCGCTGTATCCCCCGCCGGTGATGACTGCGCGTGGAGCGATGGTGAAGTCGTTTGGGCCAACCTGAGTGTGGAGGGCTGATGCTGGAGGGGCCTTCCCTGCGAGAATGAGCGGGACCTCCTGCTCTGCAGCGGGGAGGTTGTGGCCGGCGTAGACAACTGCTGTCGTTTAGTCTCATCATATGACTATATGTCGGAGCAGAGCGGTGATTGCAGACCATTATACTCTGGGAGCATGTGTGTGCGGACAAGGGCTGCGACTTCGCGCTTGGCGCCACAGAGAATCACAGGGATGGCGGTGGTCATGTTGTTGATCTTGTATTCAGAACTCAAGGATGTGAGACCGGAAGCCCAACATTCCTTGCACCTTTATGTAGCAGGTGAATGATGCGATGGGTTTCTGGACCGATTACAGAGCGCAACGCTTCGGACGTAAATTCAGCCCCGAGAAACTTGCCGCCTTTACTGCATCATTGGCTGTATTGCGGCTAAAGGACGTGGGGCAGATACCACTTCATCTGAAAAGTCATGAAGTCATCACGATCTTCGGAGTTGATGTCAACCCCGAGCATGAATAAGCAAACCCCCCACATCACTCCAGCATATAAACCGAACATCAACCCTCGAACGAGATCATCGGAATTTTGACTCCAAGATATCTGTTCAGAACGGCCCCGACAATGTCAGATCCACCCAAGCCCCTCCATGACAATGTGTCACGCACCAAATCCAGCTCCCCACTAGGGCGAGCCGTCTTCATCGGCCTCCGCGCCGCCGACGTCTGGTGGCAGTACAGCTTGTTCAGCCAGGGCTGGGCCTCCCAGCTCATAACCAAGCTGGGTGGCTCTCCCGTCGTGGCCGGCAACGTTTGGGCCACCTCCAGCAGCAGCCTTCACATCTACTACCACCTCGTCAGCCTCCTCTCCCTGGGCAGCAGCATCAAGCAGATCGCCGCCATGCTGTTCGTCTCCGAGCAGGAAACCCGCGTCGGCTCCGCCGCCCTGATCGCCTTCTTCAACACGGCTTTCAACACAATTAACACCCTCCTCGCCATCTGGTCACGCACCTCCCAAGCCCCAGCCTCCACCAGCAAGACGCTACTGGACTTCATCCTAGCGAACCCCACCGTAACCATTGGCTTCAGCGCCTACCTCATCGGGATATTGACAGAGGCGGTCTCCGAGTTCCAGCGTCGCGCCTTCAAGAAAGACCCCGCCAACAAAGGCAAGCCCTACGGCGGGGGTTTGTTCTCGCTGGCGACCAATATCAACTATGGGGGGTATACCGTTTGGCGGGCGGGGTATGCGATGGTGACGGGCGGCTGGCCGTGGGCGGCGACGACCTTCGGTTTCTTCTTCTGGGATTTCGCGGTCAGAGGCGTGCCAGTGTTGGATGAGTATCTGGTCGGTCGGGTAAGTGTACCTTTAGTTTGGTTTGAGTTTGCGCGAGTGGTAGAACTGGCTGACGTCTTTTTAGTATGGGCAGGCTTATGAGGTTATCAAGGCGCGGGTGAATTATCGGTTGATTCCTTGGGTGTATTAGATGCCTCTGCGATTTTTTGGAGTGGGGGTGGTAGCTGGAAGCTTGGTATGACGGATGAAAGGTATTGTATGATGATGCTGCCAGCTTGGTAGATTTTACTGTCAAGCGAACTGGAGACGGCAGGCTTGAGGACTCCTGTAATAGGTTTTAATGAAATTTAGCGTTTGCCGAAAGTACCAGATGCTTCTGTTTTGTTGTGTGGTGAGTATCTACTTATCGGTATCCAGTGGTACCGAAAACGGCTCTAAAATGTAAGACGAATGTTCTTCGGGAATACTTTGTTATTTGCGATGGAGATGATCCATGATATCGGGCAATTCTCCTCCTGTTCTTTTGTTTTTGTCCTTTCAGCTTCCTGTTATAAGTCAGAGACAAGTGAGCAGAGGACAAGCCTCGAACTCGGACTATTATCCTCCCTGAGAAGTCTGGGTGTTACGGCAGAGGCAGATTCGATTCCCTAGGACGTGGTGTTAGATTCAACCAAAGCGTTGTATAGTGGATCATTACCGTTCGGGATGGCGAACAATTCAAGGGTCAACCCAGTATTCCAGAAATCCAGCCCCAATGCAGCGTACGGTTGTCAAGAGGGGGGAGGGCCTTTTCCACACACAGGCGCAGTGAATGTTGTTGCCTTTTGTTTGGTCAGCTTCCACTGCAGGTGAGACATCAGAGGAAAACTCAGTCAAAAGTCCCGATGACTATGCTGGCTGTATGGGGCCACACCAACAACTAGGACCCTTGTTTGAGGCGAACCTCCTATCCCAATGCCTGAGGCACCATTGTGGGGCATTTAGCCTGTAAAGAGAGTAGGATCCAACGGAAAGACCCTGAGCAAGATTGAATATGGCAGGCTTCGATGCTAGACGCTGGGGCTGTGCCAAGTAGCGTATAATTGAGCCGGTAGCCGGTGGTTGTGGGGTGTCGGTTGTCGCCTTGAACCGCCGGCCTCGGCCCGACAATTGCTTCGGGTGGAAGTATACCATCATATCCGATGATCAATTATATGGTTGCCTAAAGGAGAAGACCCCGCAGCCCCATCATGATAGTATAGGCAAACGCTATTATTTCCTAGTCTACCCTGAGTGATCGATTTTGAGCTTTCAATTGGTGCGCGCTGCGCATGGCCCGCAAGCTCTGCCAGCTCCTGGTGGTACCATCTTGGCGATTAGACCCCTAAAAAGAGACCCTGTTGGAGTTGATATCCACCTCAGTCAATGTAAATTTCGGGAGCATTGAGATCGGTGCCATCGCTTCCAGTAGCAGATAAGGCATGGATATTAACAGGAAGTCCCTGTGTGGTAGACCTTTCTCTGGATACCACCACCAACTGTTCGTCTGTCGTGATTAGAGGATCTATTACTGGCCAAGTTCGTGTCTCAGCAATGCAGTCCGAGTAGCTGTCTGCTTATATGTCCAGGACCTAAGTTACTATCAAAACATCGGATGTCAGCAACCCCACAGATGACTCTGTCTTATCCTAAAAAGCCAGCGTTCCTTGGCGACACCTGCCCCGGCGCTTCAAATTGCTGCCTAGAATCGAGATCAACTAGTATCCAACAGTATCCACAGCAACAAATATAGATTGTTTGTATATCTGTTGCAGCCACTACATTCTAAATACAAATCACTCAAGATCACACACAAGTCTTAACTTCAGCTCCCAACTCTCTGTCCCAATTGTTTTCTAAGCAATTCCTTCCACCCACCATGCCAACCCTCAAATCCACCGCCGCTCTCCTCGTCTTCGCCCTTGCCCTAGGCCCAGCAGCCCAGCCCATCACACAAGCCACTATGAAAAACAACACCAATGACGAGACCACATGCGCCGTCTTCAACTGGGACCGCCAATCCGTCTCCTGGGACGAATATCCACCAAAACGTGTCAGCGCAGCCTTCAACTGCCCCAACACCACTACAACCACGAGTAACAACACCAACGCCTGCGAGATCACGGGGACGGGGGGATACGGCACCTACTACGCAGTGACGAACCTCACCGGCCTTGCCGCGGGTCCCCTGACGGCCCTAGTCCAGAAGGCGGTCGATAAGAAACAACTACAGACAAGCAATTTCAGCGCCCAAGCCACAGTCTATGAGGGGGTGGCCCGCACGCCCCTCGCGCCAGGCCAGTCGGCGTACGCTGTCGAGATCGGCCGCAGCTACTGCTTCACGGGGACAGTTTCTAGCTGCACGGGCGGCGACCACCAGATCGCCGACGACACGCCCGTGCAGGTGTGCTCACCCCTGTGGCAGTATGTCCGCACGGTCGGGAACGTGATCGTGGCCTACGGCGGAATAGTGAATGTGACTCGGGAGCAGGCCGCCAACTTGACCGATCCGTTTGCCGGTCAGAACGTGACGCTGCCGAACGGGGCGGCGAGGGGGTTGGTCGTCGCGGGGAATGGGTGGTTGACCGGGCTGGTGGTTGCGGTTGCAGTGGCTCTGATGGTTTAATGTCCTTTTGTGTATGTTCGGATCTATGATCTTGTTTTGTGAGTTATGAGATAATGTGCTTATGACTAGTCTATAGTGGATCCGCAAGTCTGCCAGCTTACGATACAGTTGATTTTGTTATTTGTTCTTTGTAAATGTGATGATCGAGAGAACTTGTCTTCTTGCCTTTTCCTGTTTCCGTCTTTTTGTCTTTTGTTTTTCTATTTTTTTTTTCTTTGTTTCTTTTGGATCTCTTCTCTATCTTGGCACGGTGGTGGGATTTGTAGGAATAGAAATGAACACAACGCTCAGGGTTGTATACTTCTATATGTATAGCTGCCCTGAAAATGTCCCTAGCTTTTACCAGAAAACAACTTATAGTATACTGTACAATACCAAACATAAATCACCTCTTTCATCCTTTACGAGCATTTACTAGTGGTTTTCATGTTCTATGATAGCTATATGCTACCTGTAATCAGATATGACAGATTATTCCTGTCTACATTGAACATTGACATATTACTGTTCAGCTCTGCACTGCTCACTAACACACACTTCTTTTGCCCAAAAAGAGATGGAATTAATATAGAACTGGCTTTGTCAAGCATTGGTGCCTTACAGCAGCATAGCCTATTCCATCTAGCTAGCAAAACTTTGTTCTGCTGTCCTCTGGATCATTCATAGGCACATAAATTACAATCATGGATCCGTGATATTCACACTTGAAATATTATCCAGCACTAAACCAATCTAGGTTGCGATGCAAGTCAACCTTTCCTGAAATGGCAAGGTCTAAGTAACTTTGTGCCTCAGGCACCAACTCAGGATTCCGAGGTAACACCAGTTTCACCTCCTTCTCCGCAGTACTTCCCGATGCAAAAAATACACTTGCAATCATGATGCTATAGAATCTCGCCTCATCTCCTCATTTCAAGAGGCGAAGGCTGCTCTGGAAACACAACAAGTACCCGAAACAGGCCTACTGGAACCTAAATGGCCGGGCAAGTGACCTCTAACCTGTCATTCGGTGGAGATCCGGGGAAATCTACCAGTGTGACAGGAGTGACTCTCGGCTCATTTTCTCTGGCTAAAAGCCATCGATAGCAGAAATCAGGAACCCTGCCCGGAGATCGAGGATATGGGAGTGTATGATGTCATCACGGGAGTCAATTCGGACGCCCGCGGTTCCTGGTGCAACCAAGACATGGTTAAAAGCATTTCTTCGGCCACTGTTGATCGTCTAGTTCGTCAATCACTGGTGCAAGGGATCAAACATGAAGGCACTTGCACGTTCTATCTTAGCTGCGCTGACAGCATGGCTGCCCCACGATACTGACTCCACAACCTCCCTTGCAGCGAGGGCCAATGCTGCGCCGGGGAATACCTCCGCGGTAAACCTGACGGTCATCACGTCTGGAGGTAACCTATCTAGCCCGTTGCTGTATGGGATTATGTTTGAGGTATATGCCAGTCCTGTCCACAAATGAGTGTAATGACTGACATTAGCGGCTCTCTCTAGGAAATGGATCATTCTGGTACATCCGCCCTCGCTGCGCAGCAACAAAGCTAATGTGAACAGGCGACGGAGGGCTCCACGGACAATTGCTGCAGAACAACGGCTTTCAAGGGGCCGATCCCGGTCTGACTGCCTACAAACCCATCGGACAAGCAGAGATCATGCAGGATTACCTGTATCCGGTGAGCGGTGCCATCACCTCTTCCCTACAGGTATCCGTACCAGCTGGCGGCGCCACAGGCCTGGTCGGATTCGCCAACACAGGATACAAAGGCATTCCGGTGGTAAATACGACATATTGGTGTGAGTTCTGGATGTTGGGTGATTACACCGGAATGATCACCCTCCAGCTAGCTGGATCGTCCAGTGGAACAATCTTCGCTTCGCATAACATCACGGTCGCCAGCACTCAGAACAACTTCACCCGATACAGGACGGTGTTCAATGCCACAGCAGCACCGGACGGCAACAATGAGTGGAGGCTACTTTTCAATGCGTCTAGGGTGTCTGGAGGAACGCTGAATTTCGGACTTCCGCAATTGTTTCCGCCAACGTATAAGTTGAGGTGTGTGTGCTTTCTTTGCGGGAGGGGGAGAAACCTGACATAGTCAAGGTCCAATGGACTCCGTCACGATATTGCCAAGGTTATTGCAGATATGAAACCGTCTTTCTTGCGCTTTCCGGGGGGAAATAACTTGTATGACTTATCTTCTCGCCTAGACCAATTGTCTATCCGGATTGTCATTAATGCTTGGCAGGGAAGGTCTGCAAGTTGAGAGTCGGTGGCAGTGGAACTTGACCATCGGACCGGTAGTCGAGCGTCCTGGGCGACAAAGTGATTGGTTTTATCCCAATACTGACGCACTGGGTAGGACGCGCCCGAATATTTTGACCGTGTCTAACGAGTTATTCAGGTCTGGATGAGTACCTATGGTGGTGCGAGGATATGAACATGGCTCCCGTGCTGGCGGTCTGGGACGGCAAGTCCTACGGCGACATCCTGTCAGGCAAGGAGCTCGAACCCTACATTCAGGATATTCTTCATGAGCTTGAGGTGAGTCAGTCGCTCTGGTCGCATCAATCCCAAAGCTGATCGAGTAGTACCTTCTCGGCGCCCCCAACACCACCTACGGAAGTCTCCGCGCCAAGAACGGACGCGTGCAGCCCTGGTCAATCCAGTTCATCGAGATCGGGAACGAGGACGACTTCACCGGGGGCTGCGCAACGTATCCCCGCCGCTTCATGCAGATCTATGACGCTATCCACCAGAACTACCCCAATATCACGCTGATCGCCTCCGCCAGCGATCCGCAGTGTCTTCCCTCCGATCCACCTCCTGGGATTATGTACGACTTCCACTACTACCGCAGTCCAGACCAGCTGGTCGCCATGTTCCACGAGTGGGACCACCAGTCCCGCTCTCGCCCGGTGATGATCGGCGAGTACGGCTGTCGCAATACAAGCTCTCCCGACGGGTTCTACTGGACGTTCATGCAATGCAGCTGCAGCGAAGCGGTGCACATGATCGGACTGGAGCGGAACAGCGATGTCATCAAGATGGCATCTTATGCACCCTTGCTGCAGAACTTTCCGTACACCCAGTGGTCGGTATGTACCATTCTCCCGGTGCTCAGGCTTTGTCACTCTTGCTAATACATCCTCGCAGCCGACGCTGATCGGGTTCGACTCGAACCCAGGCTCCCTTACCCTGTCCACATCCTACTGGGTCCAGAAGATGTTTTCCAACCACCAGGGGCAGACCATCCTGCCGGTGAATTCGACGGCCAGCTTCGGCCCCTTGTACTGGGTTGCCTCGCGGACCAACGGGACGTACATTATGAAGATGACCAACTACGGTAACGACCACCGCACTGTTCGGGTCACCATCCCGAACACGACAGCTGGACATATGGAGCTGCTATCCGGTCCACGGGATGGAGTCAATGTCCCGCATAATTCCACTATCCAACCCGTGATACAGAATGTGACGGGTAGCAAAGACAGCTGCTATACAATACAGATGCCGGCGTGGGGGGTCGCGGTGCTGGTTGTGCATTGATGAGCTGCTTACTATGACTAATATCAGTACCGTTGTGCATAAACTAGCATACAATACTATTCGCATTTTTCTTCATCCGTCTCGAATACCGCATCTTAAAGCAGCCTCAAAACCACACCACAATTCCTCAAACCCCCCTCTCCGGAAAGGAAATAGATTAACTCAGCCCTCCACCCCATAAACCCCCAAATCCTTGGCCATCCCCGGCAAAGCATAAACAGCACTCCTCTTCCCACCAAACACCTTCAACGCTCTCTCCCCCCGAAACTCCAACCCGATCTTCTCCAACACCCGCCGACTCCGGGCGTTATTCACATCACAGAACCCAAACACCCCATCCACCCCCAATTCCGTGCAGGCATACTCCACCACCGCCCGCCCGGCTTCGGTCGCATACCCCCTCCCGCTCTCCTCGGGCAGCACGCTGAACCCGATGTCGGGGACACTGTATCCGTCGGGCGGGGTGCCTTGCATCAGGGAGATGGTGCCTATGGGGACGCTTTCGGCGAGCGGGGCGGTGGGGTGCGGTCGGCGGGAGAGGAGGAAGATCCCGCGCTGGTGGTTGGAGGTGGTGTAGATGCTTTGCAGGCGGTTGATGAGGAAGGCTGTGGCGTCGTCGGGGGTTTTGAAGGGCGAGGGGCCGCAGGAGGTGGTGAAGTCTGGGCTCGTCCAGAGGTGGTGGAGAAAGGTGCTGTGCGTTGGGGTGGGGGAGAGGAGGGAGATGTGCAGGCGCGGGGTCGAGGTGAGAATTGGAGAGGTGGGGGTGGGGCTTGGCATGGTTTTAGCTGAGATATTGGTTTTTGAATTAGAGTATGCTTCCATATTTCTAGGTTTACGTGGTTTGTTGAGATTATGACTTTGTGATATACTTGGGGTGGGTGAGGGTTGTAAGTGTTTTAAAAAAGGGTCTTGTCTTGCGAAGGTAAATGCAAAGGGCGGTACTCCGTACATGCAGCCGAGATTGAGTCATTGCGCTTATCAGTGAGTCAAGCAATACACATACAATAACTAGTTCATTACTATTGTCTTGACTTTAGTGGTCAGAGGCAGATAGGAGGGAGGCTAGCTAATATAGCGCCAGTCTTTCAATGCTCCGTTGCCGGAGATATCCGCTGCTAGCCCGACGAACATCCTGGTGTTGATTAGCCGTCACCGGTGCACTAAGAGCGACAATTGCCTCGTACTCCTAGAAGCTGATGCTTCAACATTTCTAAAAATTCATTCAATGGAAATGCGGCATCTCAAACCACGTCTAGTGCACTAACTTCCTCAAGTTACTCCCTCACCGCGCAGAACCAAAGCATCCGCACATTCTCATCTGTAAACGACACGTTCCGCGTCTTCTCCCACTCCTCGCCCCAGTACAACTCCGCCTCCACCCGCCATCGCGTCCCAGTGACTTGCCCGACATCATACCAGAATCCTTTGATCGACTCCACATTGTGTCGGTAGTGCATTGGGTCATCCTTGAACCCTTTCAATGCGTAGTGTCCTGCCAATCGCGTCCCCATCTGCCGCCCGGCAATCATCACCCCCGGTTTCTCCTTACACAGCCTGACAAGTCGCGCAGCTACCTTGACCTGGGTCTCATAGTCCCACAGATGAAGGACCGAATTAGTTAGGACAACCTCGAGCTTCCCGTTCACCGTCTGCGCGAGCCTTCCCCGCGTAAACTCCTCATCATCATCCGCGGTGAGATCGCCAGTGATAAACGTCGCATCCAGACGGTCGGCATCGCGAAAGAGTCGGTAACCCAGGTCGATGAAGATCTGCTCGAGGTCGCAGCCATAAAGCTGACCGCCGGGGATGCCCTCGTTGGCGAGGAAGCGGATCTCTTGGCCGACGCAGCAGCCCACGTCCAGGAATCCGGCGTCGGGGTTCGCGCGGAGGTGGTCCATTACCCGGGGATAGAAGGGGAGTGTGGCGAGGTTGAAGGAGAGGAAGCGCATCTGGCCGATGCAGGGGTATTGGCAGACTTTGAAGGCTTCATCGCGCTGTGGTGGGTTAGTCGTGCGGTTGTTTCTCGTTCTTTGGCTTGGGGGCAGGGAGAGCTTACCACTGCTAATACATGGGGGATTACTTCGTCTGGTTTGAGATTGCTGTAGGTCTCGAGTAAGTGTTGCGCAGTGGGGTTGATGGATGTGACCTTGGTTTCGAACCAGGCGGGCTTGGCTTGGGGGTCCTCAGTTGCGGTCATGGTGACTCCGTCAGATGCGGCCTGCGGCAAGGTGAAGATTATCCAAACCCAGTCGGACTGAGGCGCCTTCCTAAGCTTTTAAACCCCAGCCTTTGAACCGGGGTGAAGCCACTTGGAGGGGGGAAAGTGGGCCGTTGTCGTGGTGCGATAGCCCTAATGGCGGGTTCAACGACACTAAAGCTACAGCACTAGCAGGGAAATCATTAACTGGCTATCCTGCCACGTCAGCTTTTAGTCTGAGAGTTACCTAGTCAAATCCCTGTTCGGAGACGAGACAGAAAACAAAAATGCCGGATCCCTCCGCGGTATTCTCATGTAAGCCCTCATCATCTCTTTCTTCACAATCTTCACTCTTTTGGTCGTGGTTCAAAGAGAATACTCATTTCGAGGAAGAATACCTCTAAGAAAGAAGACATTTGGTGCCTATATAATACTCGTAGTATTCATATCTAGACATCATCATCATCGCCCTCATATCACCAACCCTAACTTGAAGATCCCGAAGTAACAACAGTAGCAATCATGGAGAGCAATATGCTGAAGGATTACGCCATGGAATACGTGGCCCGGATCCTCGACAATAGTGCCATCCCCTACTGTCTAGTCGGAGAGTCGGTGCTTGAGCTCTACGGCCTACAGCACAAGCTAGGCTTATTTACAGGGTTCTCCATCCCCGCCGGATGGATGGAGCACGCCAAACATGCGTTGCAGCCCCTCGGGAATCTGGAGTGCCACGGCGACTGCGACGCCCGCAGGGGTTACAAGCCCATCTTCAAAGAGGATGTGCCCGCCATCGCACCCGCCTGGCATTTCCACATGCTCCCGCCTCTCCTCGCGAGGGGTGAGCATGGCTACTGTCAGCGCCAGCCGTTCCTCTGGGGTTTCGTTGTGAATTTCTACCATCACTCGGATGTGCTCTGGTTCTTCCCCGAGCCGCCCCGCGGCAACCCCACGACCGCACCCCGTCCGGCCCTGGGAGATAATGTGCCCCCCGAGGGACTGGGCGTGCTGTCGGACTACTACATGCTGTCCGATGATCTGCGGCTGTCGGCGTTTCGGCGCCACTCGCCCGAGCACTATCCCATCAAGATCCCCACTCCGCACCGCCTCCTAGAAACCACCATCTGCCAGATGTGCGTGCACCGGCAGAAGCGGGACGACGGGCTCGCGGAAATCTGCGCCGCCATCTTCCACCGCGTGACTTTGCCGCGCAGGATTAACCCCCAGCTCCAGGTCGTGTTGCAGTGGCGCGACTTGTCCGACCCCTTCCGCGGCTTCGTGGAGAACCACTTCAAGGACCCCCGGGACCCGACCAAGTCGGACGATGGATGCACAGAGCGCGTCCTCGCTTTCCTCTACACAAAGCCGGAGGCGCACTCTTTGCTATCCTCTAAGTGATGGTCCATCGTATGCAGTAGACAGTTCCTTACTCTAGTACACGAATTCGGTAATTTAACGACACTTGCAATCGCAACTTATTTTCAGTCAGTCAATCACAAAACTATGCTTAACCATATACAATATCTCAGAAAAGGTAAGAACCCTAAGAACCGTTCCTACGACGCTCCTTAAACTTCCTCAGCTATGGACCTTGGAAACATACTCGTCATTCAACTTCTTCTCCAACGCTTCTTCTTCCGAAACAGCGCGTAATTCATCCAGCTCCACGAACCCCAACGTTCGTAACCCGACCACCAAAAACCTTTCCCAGGTCGACACTTCATCCCTCGTCTGCGGACTGGATCCAAAGTCAGAATCATACCCAAGAATATACTAAAGGCAAGGTGAGCAAACTTACTCTCTCGAGCATCTGGACCGCAGCGTCACCCACTCATTCAACTGCCTGATATACGCCATTGCCAGCACAAACCCCAACGACGCGCCCGGCACCTGACTCTGATGCACACTAAACACCGCCGCCAATGGCACCGAGATCGCATACACCGTGCTGTCCTTAGCTGTACGGCGCAGGTACGGCGTACGGGAAAAGTAGAAGATCGCCAGCCGCGTCCAAATGAACCCTTCCAAAGCGTATATGCTGAGTGTATGCAGACTCGGGATGCGGAATGCATATGCCGCTATGGTAGCCAGAGGCCGTAGGCATGCGGCGGCTTGGTAGGGCGGGCGGGTCGTGCGGGGATCGCCGCGGCGGAGCGTGCGCACCAGCACGAAGCTCGTCCCCGACCAGATCAGGCTGCTCAGCACGTCGAGCGCGTCCGGGAGGATCGTTTGCGAATGTGGGGTCTGCGCTTTGGCGAGCCAGTAGCGGAAGTACTCTAGGAGGCCGGTGGCGATGTGCAAGGACAGGCAGGAGGTGTTCGTGGCGAATTTAATGTGGTAGGCTGGCGCGTTCCAGATGGTGTGGTAGAGGATCACGGCGGTGTAGACTACGATGCGGTTGAGGAGGGCGAGTGTCTCGGGGTCATCGGGGAGTTTGAGTTGCAAGGGTAGGGGGTTGGAGATGGATCGCATCTTAATAAGGCTGGTGGTTGTGGTTCTGATGCGAATAAGTTGCAGGACAATGTGGTGATCCAGTAGTGCGGGTGTGGTCTGCCTTGTCTTCTTATGGTTTGTGAGTTATCAGCCACGTCGGTGTCTGTGTTCTGTTGCATCATGCTTTGATCGCCAGAAGATATGCATGACGTGGATCTAGCATCTCTATTTTTCTATCTTTGACTCAGATGAAAACAAACTCGCCACAGCATGTCGCGATCGGATACGTCCACGAGATGGAGAGCCTGTTGTCCCATGATGACAGTACCTTGAACCATGACCAAGACTGTCTAGATGAACTTGCAGAGATAGCTGAACATTTTAACTTCAAGAGCATTCTGATGGTGAAGAAATGACGTAACAATTGCTGGTGGTGCCTATTTCATAGCGCATGACTCGTATGCAGTTAAAAAGAGCTGGAATTTCTCCGCAGATCATACATCCCTTGCGTCGATCATGCAGGATTTAGCCGTCTCTCTTCACCATTATTCGGTATACTAGAGTTATGCATGCCCGATGGCTGAGTCATTGTAGTGTGATAAAGCCACCTTCCTGACGCCACAGATCTTGCAAGACTATCACCTACCAAATTAAGACTCTCATGCACTTATGATCTCACTCGATTTGACATTCTAAACGGATGCGTGTTCCCTCTTCACGCAGTTGGCCTTATCAATCAGGCCTGTGAACCCTGACTCGTCGAAGGTATGTCGCGCAAATGATTGGCCTTGGATTTACCGGGATGCATCATGCAGCAGGCGACCATGGGATGCACACTTCTCCACTGCAGCTCTAAAACTGCCAGGAACCGATTGCTAAACCAGGTAGGACAAGCCTCTGAGGAGGTGGCACATGTGCCCTAGTCAAACCTCGAATCAGCATACCTTATGTATCAACCAATCTAAACATGGCTCTTCTTCGCATTCCTCGGCTGGAATCCCATCAATAGGCCATGCAGGGTCTACGGGATTTATGATGGTTAATTAGGTTCTGTGTTGAAGTAACCCTAAAAAGTATATAATATCTTCACGTGAAAACCTCTTCCAGACACGACTGTGAGCGGTCTTTGAATTATAAAGTGTGCCACGACTCGCTCGTGGTCTGATTCATCAAGTCCCCAGCAATCCGTGAGTTTGACCACAGCCTGGTAGCATCATTCCTAGAACAGAATTTAATAACAGAAGACGCTAACCTCGAAGCAGACCATGACTGAACATTTACCAACCCTTAGACGCCTGAAGGAAGCAATTCCTGACTCATGTTTCGCCCCGTCCCTTTGGACCTCTCTCGGGTACCTGACCCGCGATATCCTCTATGCCGCGGCTCTCGCATACGCTACAACCTACATCCCGTTGTTGGAAAGTGGTTCTCTGCTGTTCCTCGCATGGTTTATCTATGGCCTTCTCCAAGGCTTCGTGGGCACCGGCCTATGGATCCTAGCCCACGAATGCGGCCACGGCGCCTTCTCCTCATATCCCCTGTTGAACGACATCATCGGCTGGGTTCTGCATTCCAGCCTGCTGGTGCCCTACTTCTCCTGGAAAATCACGCATGCGCGCCACCATCGGTTCTCAGGACACATGGAGAAAGACACTGCGTTCGTTCCACCGACTCAAGCAGAATATGCAGCCAAACGCCGCAGGTGGATGGATGCCCTGGAGGATCTTGTCGAAGACACCCCCTTTAGTACCCTGCTGAGATTTGCAGCTCACCAGCTGCTGGGGTGGCAGGCCTACCTTCTTTTCTACGCCACCGGGGCGAAAGCAGCGATTGCCCGTCCGAAGACCCAGACTCGCACTCCCCTCCTCCTCTCACATCTCTCCCCTGACAGCCTACTGTTTCATCCCAAGCAGCGACCATTTGTGCTACTCTCCGACCTCGGCCTCGCCCTCACCATCTCGGGTCTGGTGCATTTAGGCTCCATCCTCGGGCCCTCCCGAGTAATGCTCCTGTACTTTCTACCCTATTTCTGGGTCCATCACTGGATAGGTCAGCCCATTCGTCCTATCCCCAAGACATGCACTGTGCTAACAAGCGGCAGTGGCAATAACCTACCTCCACCACACCCACCCGCAGATCGCGCACTATTCCTCCGAGACCTGGTCCTTCACGCGGGGGGCGCTGGGCACCGTCGACCGCAGCTTCGGCTTCATCGGCCGGCATTTCTTTCATCACATCATCGACCACCATGTCATTCACCACCTGTTTCCCCGCATCCCGTTCTACCGATCCGAGGAGGCCACCCTGGCCATCAAGCCGCTGCTGGGGGCGGAGTATCTCGAGTTGCGGGAGGAGAATTTCTTGGTCACACTTTGGCGGACGTTTCGGCGGTGTCAGTTTGTGAGTGATGGGGGTGATATGGGAGGAAGGTCTGGTGTATTTGAGTGGAATGTGGTTGTGGATGGATGTGGAAATGGGGTTACTGGGGTGAGTGAGTAAGGTTTGAGGTTTGGAGGGAGCATTAGTGCTGTGTGGTCTTGTATTCAAAGATGTATTAGTGTATTCATTGAGGTTTAGCTCTTTTATGAAGATTTAACAAAGCCGCAGGTACAGATTTCAGAGCAATTACTATTATAAGAAAGAGACAATTGTCCTGATATCATGGAAAACCATGCACCACTTGTCAGAGCAGATACGAATTAACCAGCTTATTTTAGGTAGAACTACCATAGTCATGTCAGCTCACAAATTAGAGCAGGACCTTCTTGCTCCCTTGGACATGAATTCCCAGACCAGAAAGTGGCCAAATGCCTGTTTTGGGGTCAAATCAAATGGTCATGGCCGGATGGTTCGGAACCAAAACAGGGCAGAATCAAGCTCTTACCAGCTATCTTACCAAGACACACTCTGCAGCCTTGCAGATATAGAGTCTTCCTGATGGTGAGATAACCTTGCTTTCCAAGCACCAAAAATACCTTTGATCTTCCCTTCCTGACAATTCTTTGCAGGTATGGGCGCTGGTTCGTTCTTGGACGAGTATATTCTCGGTCGCGATATCCCAGAAGCAGTCAGGTGATATTTCAACTCGAAGATTTTCGCTGCGAAACTCTCCCCGCTGATGGCTGTGTGCCAGGCTAAATGACCAACAGCTCCTGTGGAGACTCCAGACAGGACACATCCTGAGTCCGCTGATCCCTCGGCGACCGGGGATGCGCATTGCCGACCTCGGGACTGGAACAGGGCACGTTGACCCTCTACCCCTCAGAGCCATTCCAGATGTATCTAACTGGCTTGAGGTGGTAGCATTTGGTGTATAGACCTCAGTTACGAGCTGGATAAGGCTGAGATCTGTGGCTACGATATCTCGGATCTCTCGTACCCGCCCTCAGCCACACTCCCGAGGAATGTCAAGCTGGGCAAGTTGGATGCACTATCCGATCTACCGGAGGAGTACCGGAGTGCATTCGACGTCGTGCATTTGCGGCTGTGGATCTGCGTGATTCGAGACAACTGCCCGGATAAGTTGATTGAGGTTGCTACGGCTATGCTAAGTGAGTTGATCTTCTTATGCATCAGGTCTGGGCTGATCGAGTTGCTAGAGCCGGGCGGCTACATCCAGTGGGAGGAGATCGGACGAGATACCAGCTTGGTGACATCCAGTCCCATGCAGCGCTTGGAGGACCTCTATGGCAGACAGCTGGAGAGTGAGAGAATCGATCCAAGGTATGTACTTTCTCTGCAAGACTCAAGCTAGCTATCAAGCTAATACGGAGTGCCAGCTGGGTGGGCCACTTGCCTGACATCTTCAGGGACAAGGGTTTTGACATACTGCAAGGTGATCTTGGCCTGTGGGACAACACTGTGCGCGGTTTATACTATGCAAATTATCTTGTTGTCGTGATGAGCGTCATGCGGTCGAAATATGCGAATAGCAAGGAAAAATCAGCCGATCTGGATACGGTGGCGAGTGAGCTGTTTGAACAGCGTGATGTTGACCATGGGCTTGCTTGGAGACCGATAGAGTTGGTTGCCCAAAAGGCCAAAAGTGCCTAGTGGTCCTTTGCACCAGAACTTGAAGCTTGGATAACTTACTTCTTGTTGTCGGTGCTACCTACAGTCGTAGCAAATGGAAGCGCGTTTGTTCACTGGCATCGGATATTTCTTACTGTGTAGATGGCTATCATGTGACGGACATGTGACGGACATGTGACTGACCCCTCTTTCTCCAATTGCTTCCCCTCACTCACTCATCTCCTCCTTCACCATCCACACTCACAGTCTTTCTTCCACTTGCACCACCTATATTCACTGTGTCACTCTCTACAATTGTATCCCTCGTTCATCCTCATCCACAGTCCCATGGCCTCTCGCCCCGTCATCGCCATTGCCGGCTTGGCCTGCGAAACCTCCGCCTTCACCCCCGCACGCACCCACGCGGCCGCCTTCCACCCACGCCGCGGCCACGAAATCCTCGACGAATACCCTTTCCTGCGCCCCAACTCTCCCCTCGGCGACGCAGCATCCTGGCATGGCGCATTGATCGGCCACGCACTGCCCGGGGGAGTCGTCGTCCGCGCCGACTTCGAAGCCCTAGCAACCGAGATCGTCTCCCGACTCACCCAAATTGCAGCCTCGACACCGATCGACGGACTATGGTTTGACATCCACGGTGCTATGGTAGTGGAGGGACTAGACGACGCAGAGTTCGAGCTCCTCGGTCGGATCCGCAGGGTCGTCGGGCCGCAGTGCGTCGTCTCCGCGTCGATGGATCTCCACGGAAACGTGTCGCGCAATCTGGTCCACCAGACCGATCTGATCACCTGTTATCGCATGGCACCGCACGAGGATGAGACGGAGACAAAGGAACGCGCGTGTCGGAACTTGGTGGATCTGCTGCTTCGTCGGGATTGCCCACCCGGTGCGACCGTGCGCCCGCGCCCGCTCAAAGCATGGATCCCCCTGCCCATCTTGCTGCCGGGGGAGCAGACTTCCACCCGAGTGGAGCCGGCCAAAGGGTTGTATGCGCTTGTGCCTGAGGTCGAGGCGGGGGACGGGGTGATCGACGCGGCGATCTGGGTGGGCTACGCGTGGGCGGACGAGCCGCGCAACCGCGCGGCGGTCGTCGTGACGGGGTGGGAGGAGGGGGCGGTGGTGGCGGGGGCGCAGCGGCTGGCCGAGGCGTTCTGGGATGCACATGCGGAGTTCCACTTCGTCGGGCCCACGGGGTCGTTTGCCGAGTGCATCGATGTGGCGCTGGCGTCTGCGCCCGAGGCGCGGCCGTTCTTTATCTCGGACTCCGGCGACAACCCTACCGCTGGTGGGTCGGGTGATGTCACCTGGGGGCTGGCTCGATTGTTGGAGCGACCAGAGTTCCAGGGGCCCAATGGACCGGTGGTGATCTATGCCAGCTTGCCGGGGCCGCAGGCCGTGCGGGCCATGGTGGATGCAGGGGTGGGTGCCACGGTGACGGTCACGGCGGGGGCGGAGGTGGATGCCGTCCATGCAGGGCCGATCACCTTGACCGGGCGCGTGCATGCGATCAAGCATGGTGACAAGGATGCCCGGGTCGAGGCGGTGCTGCAGGTAGGCTCGGTGTTTGCCATCCTGACGCAGCTCCGCAAGCCCTATCATCATGAACGGGATTTTACTGATCTGCAGCTGACCCCTCGGAAGGCCGATCTGGTGATTGTCAAAATCGGATACTTGGAGCCAGAGTTATTTGAGATGGCTGCCGACTGGATGCTGGCGCTGACTCCAGGGGGTGTCGATCAAGATCTCGTCCGTTTGGGACACCGCCGCATTCGTCGTCCTATGTGGCCTTTTGACACTGTCTTCCCTTCTCCTCCCGATCTTCGTGCGCGACTTATTCCTGCTTCGGACCAGACGCTGTCACCGCCGGATGAATAGTTGATTCAGGCACAGTACAATTGGCATACGTGACTAACCCGAGTCTCGGTGCAATTTTCCGCTTCTACATTGTTCTACGCAGATGACGTCGTAGATCGAACCAATCATTACATCATTTTGGAACAAGGCAAGGTATCTAAACAGTACAATACACGACACGAGATCAGACATCAAAACTTCTACTCCTTGTTGGCAGCGCCAGTGAAGGGGCAACCAGAGGGTACCTCCGCATCATCCGCCTTGATCTGCTCGCGACCGCGGGAGATCTGGCGGAACATGTCGAGCGGGTCGAACCAAACGTTAATCTGCTCTAACTGGAGGGCCTTGTTGACCTTGGCCACGATGATCCCCTGGATGTCGATCGGGCCGCCGTGCGCCTCAATCCGGACCTTCCCTCCCTTGCTAAAATCCGCCCATGTTAGCCACTTTCCAGGTAAGATTTGCAGAGGCTGACTCACTCGTTGAACCCGACATAGTCGCGGGCCATCTCGCCCCAGTGTCTCCATTTGAAGACCACAGTGGGCGGGCCGCTGTACACCTCGGTCACCTCCCAGGCGAAGGTGGGCATCATGCGCTTGAAGCTCTTGTGGCTCATCTCGAAGTCGTTGTGGGCCGGGTCGTAGTACGCGCTCGGGGTGAGTAGGGCGTTGTAGGTCCCCACCTTGAGCATGTACTCGCCGGACAGTGGGGGACCGCCGTTGAGCGTGACGTGGTACTTTTCGTGGTCGATCGTGCGCCAGTCCGCCAGCGAGGTCTTAAAGGAGGCCTCGATTTCCCAGTTCTTGACGAGGTTCTCGACCAGGTTGGGCAGACTGCCGGGCTCGTGGGATTGTTTCTTGGCTGCGAGCGAAGAGTCAGAGATGTCAGCGAATTCGCCCTCAAGGGAACTTGGGACTGGAGGATGGATGGGTGGGCAACATACTCCGCTCGTACACAGCACGGGTGTTGGAATAGTCCGGGGGAGCGCCATATCTCCAAGCAGCGTCCTTGTCCTTCAGGACGGCGTTGGGATCAAGAACATAATCGGGAAGTGCCTCTGCGTCGCCCATTGTGAAGATCTGTGAGAGCTAAGGTTTGGAAGTATGGACCTTCTTCCAACGGCGGTGCAGGGGCAGGTGCGCCGTTATGTATGTTTTTGTCTGGTGCACCGGACAAGGTTACACTGCCTCTGCCCCCCTTCAGGGGGGAACGTGGCCTTTTGCCAATTGGGCCCATGTGATAGACTACATGACAGGGTTGGGAGTAAGCACTTGAGGCCGTAGCAAACGATTAGTGGTATCAACCCTGGTCGGCGAGGTGGGGTGGGGAGTATGGGTTTGCCTCCAACGCTCTTAGCGTGCGATTGGACTCTCCGCGGGGATTGTTTGCATTCGCCACGCCGGCCGTCAGAATTAATTGACACGGATTGAACGAGTCAGTCTGCAAGATTGATTCCACACCTTCACTCCGAACAACGGCTCATGCAGCCTGGGTGATGACCGCAGGGACCAGCATACAACATGACAGATCACAGATCTACACTCCACCATACAGTTGACGGGGCCAGATGCAGTGAGTGCATTGACAGCCTTCCCGAAGCGCACAGCAAATAAAATGACATCTCCGAAAACAAGGCCACCCCTGCATCTGACCACGCAAACCAGACCAGTCACATTTGGGCCGATAGCAACCCATCCAGGAACCGTCTTCCGCGCGATCCTGGCTCGATTGCGTGGTGTCCAATGGGGGTTGTTGCTTACTCCCGACACAATCAGAGAGATTGGCCAGAACGCAGAGCTAAACTCGCTAGGCGAGACTAGGCCGGGGAGAAGAGATTGAGTAGGCGTCGAGCCGAGGGAGAAATCGAATCGTCGAAGCTGCCGGGCCAGAAGCTGGTCAGGGTGGCTGCTGACTGCCACCGGCCATCCCCAAAACACGCCGCCGGTTCTCCCGCCGGGTTATTCCCCGGAGACCGTGATTGGTGCATTGACACAGATCGAGATCGCGGGTGGAGTCGTGGTCTGCGCCGATTGGCTGGAGCCGCAATCTGATCGATATTGGGGATAATTTACCCGGAGATAATCCCTTTGTGTGTTGGGGCGTTGAGGGGGTGGTGTCTCAGGGGCAAATGAAGAGACAAGTGATATGCATAGCATTGCAGTGGTGAGTCGACTGATATCCATCAAATACATGATGGGTAAATAATGCTTGGACACGAGGAACGTGATTAGTAATCCACAATAACTAACGTCAAACCCACGGTTTCGGCCGCGAGGCCCGAGTGTCGCCCGGATGTCGGCGGGTTTACGAGTCAGTTAAATCAACTCGACTAATCAATTGCTGGGCGCGATTTTGTGATCAATGTAAACTTCACGATGTCTCCGGCTATAGCAGAGTTATATTAAACCTTTGCAACCACCCTGCGACTATTGAGAAAGGCCACCTGCGTCGACTTCTTGCGGTAGATGACGGCAAAATACGAAGTCGATGGATCAATGTTGACCTGTATCCGCTCCTGTGAACTGAAGGTCTGTCGTGTTCGGTTCGACGTTGCAATTGACTCGCCTCACTATGCTTGCAAGAATATACATTGTCTTCTGATCCGTCTTATCAGTAAAATAAGGCCTGATCCTTGAGCCCCGTTCATGATGTCCGTGATTTGTGACAACAACCTCGAATAAGAACTATTGATCCACAACACCTGACTTGAAAGAGATCAATGCATAGGAAGAATGCGCTTTGCGCTACCTGAGATAGATGTGAGATCCTGTGATTGAATTCATTGAAACTCTGGTTGTACCCTCTGAGTTATGTTCGCGTGGTCAAATATCTACGGGCAGTGCCGAATAATGAACTTACTTGGATAGGCTAATCCACACACCGGGTACTAGCATAACACATTAATGGCGTGTGAGAGTCTGATGATCTGCAGTTAAGATTCCCAAGCTGAACAGAGCCGGTGGTAACTCAACCTCCTCCGTACTGTATCCGTCTACAGAGGGCATCTTGGACCCAAGCAAGACTATATCCCAACCTATCCTTCCCGAAACTTTATCGCATAATGAAGTTCGACATTCTCCAACTCCTCTAAGTCAGATCTAATGACACTTCTTCATCTCCCTAACATCTTTTCCAACATCCTCAGCGAAAGCACCAGCCACTCTAGCACCCCCACACCTCCCATAAACCTCTACGGAGCCCCCCTCACTCCCACCTTGCCATCAACTCATTCGCCTCAATCTCACGCTCAAACCCTACTAGATGCGTCGAATGACACCACGGCTTCACGGCCTCCTCCTTCCGAATCACCCCGGCAAAGAAACTGCACCACTTCAACCGGGGATACGCCTCGTTGATCTGCGCCCGTGTGGCCGCATGCACCAACCCCTCAAACCCGGACACATGGGGATGATACCCCGTGTTATCGTAGGTCGTCGCCAGCTGGATCAGCTGCCCGATGAAGGTGATCGTGCCGTCGACGCCCATGTCCTCGTGGCGGATGATGGCCTCCGCGGCGGCCTCGGCCTGGTCGGCGGTCGCGCCGAAGTTCTGCAAGACGGTAAGAGCTTTGATGCCGCCGTAGATGTCGAAGGACATGCGCGTCGCGGTGAGGTTCTCTGTTGCGGTGCCCAGGTCGTGCAGCAGGCAGGTCAGGGCCCAGGTTACAGGGTTCAGGGTCGCGGCGTGCGAGGGGAATTGCTGGTGGGTGATTACCATTCCTGTCGTCGCGGAGACGTAAGCTTTATGTACTGGATTGTGGGGGGTGTGTTTATGGAGTGTGGAGGCCGGGCTTACCGTAGTAGTAGACTCGCATGGAGTGGTTGAAGGTCTCCGGGTGCAGGACCGCGCGCGCGTACTCCATTGTCTTTGCGACGATGGGGTTCTCGGCGGGGAATTTCATTGTGTCTAGTGGGATGGGTTCGACTTTTTGATGGAAGGATTGGTCTTTGAAGATCGCGCCGGCGTCGGCTGGGGTGCTGGTCCAGCCGTTGGCTTTGACTTCGTCGTGGTGGCACATTTTGCAGACTGAAGTTGGGTAGCTTGATGTAGAGATAGTTTTGTTTGAAGATTGGTAGGGTTGACGGTATCTGTAAACTTCTGCGTCCGTCTGCTGATATTTATATGCACAGAGAATGGCGGTTGTCTTGGGTTTATTATCAGGATGGTGATATGGATTGGCAACGGATTTTCCCAATTAGGAAGTCTTTTGGAGTGGGGCCAGAGATTGGTCATCGCTGGAACTCTGCATCATATCGCGCATAAAATCTGGAGAAATAAGGGTCTAAGGAACAACGGTTGCCTTCATTACTCATCTGCCTTCCTTTGCCTTCCTTTGCGGGGAGTATTTTGGAGTGGAGTGCTGGTGCCATCCATGGATCGTGTTCCGCTCTCTCCGAGCCCAGGCCACAGCCTTTTCTCCACGGAAAGTAACTTCCTTTCAGAGTTCTAGCTGTAGGTTGGGGAATGCGTTCAAGTCGTCGCCACGATGGGATGTTTATCAAGATGGTCTTAAGCCCCTCAATTTGCTCCACGAGATGAAATTTTGCGACACTTTTACCTCGAATTCCCTCGCACACACCTTCGATCGACCACATCAGACATGTGTGAACCCCAGAAACGGGATAAGGAATCTTTCAGTCCGGACATCGTGGCTGGTTCGCGTTCATCACACCTAGCAAACCCAGTAAGCCTTTGAACATGCCTGTGCAACGACCTCACTATAACGTTGAACTACAGGGTCCGTTAGGGTTCGGTGCCTTTGCAACAACCCTCATGACCCTATCATTCTCTATGATGGGCTTTCGCTCCGTATCCAACCAGACCGTCTTCATCGCCAATCTCTGCTTCTTGGCCGGCATCGGACTCCTGATCTCCGCCCAGTGGGAGATGATGAAGGGGAACACATTTGCCTACACAGTTCTCGGAGCTTTCGGTAAGTGCCTCACATACCATGACTTAGAGATTGCTGATTTGGCTTGAAGCATTCTATTATGGCGGATATGGAGTGTTACTTATGCCACCATTGGGTATCGTCGACTCTTATGGAGGTAAGACTACCGAGTATTACAATGCGTTCGGACTGTATCTGGCAGGTATGTTTGCGTCTCAGGTATGGGTTGAGAGGCCCAGTGTATCAGAGCGATGGAATATGTTCTCACTAACTGCAAAAATAGTATGGTCAATCCTAAATCTCTTTTTCTTCGTCGCATCCTTGCCCACGTCAGTCTGGTCCCCTCTATCTTGTGTATACAGCAAAGCAGGGGGCTCAACCTCGTCACTAATGCTTCCGATAGAAACCTCATCAACATCATCATCTATGGTGCCTTAGAGTTGAGCTACATCTTCAACTGCACGGCAAACTGCATGATGGCGGATGGTCGTTCTGCACTCGGGACCACATTCACCACCATCGCGGGGGCGTTTGGCATGCTCTCCGCGCTGGCGGGATTCTATATGCTGGGCCATGATCTCTGCCAGGATGCGCTGCCATTTGAGATCCCACTTTTTCCGACTTCTCGTCTATTCTTTAATGCGCATGGCATTGAGCGGAGACGTTCCTAAATAAGCCTGTGCTAGACATTTACATCCACTTCATACCAATTGTTCCACAAAGGTCATGGCTTTCTGTCTTGTTTTCTCGATCGTCTTGTTGTGTAAAATATCCAGTTACAGTCTCTTCCTAGATTTCTGGATAATGTACACTACCACAGACCATTCTCTACCATCCCCATCTCAGCCATACCTTACCACTCAACCCCTCAAACTACAACCCCCCGCCCCCCAACTACCACACAGCTCCCTAAACCACGCAGTCCAAGCACACCCTTTCCACACCAAGCATCCACCAAACCTCCCTAGAAGAAATTAAACATCTCATACCCCGACACCCCCTCAAACTGCACCCCACCAACCGACCCATTCACGGTCCCAATCCACCGTCCATACCCCGGCTTGGCCAACGTGGCCAGATTCGCCGCGAGCTCCGCCTCCAGCACGCCACCGCGCTCCTCCCCGAGATCGACCTCGATCCGGAACCCCTGGGGCAGCGCATCGTCCCCCTGCGGCGGGAAGCTCACGTTCGCCCCCGTCGGACGCACCTTCATCGCGCCGCACGCGGCGTGCACGATCTGGCCCTGGTAGGCCACGTAGCCGCTCGCATACTCGGTCTGGTTCGGGTCCAGCGCGTCCAGCCAGACCAGGGAGTACGGGCCCATGCGCGCGTGACCCCAGTACCAGCTTCCGACTGCCGTGGTGAAGGGGGTGACGCCCCAGTTCTAGGATCACAATATATTAGGGAGGTCTGGGGGCGATACTTGAGAGGAATCAGGGAGCGCAAGGGAGACGCACCTTATCGTGATATCCGGTTCCGATGAAGCTCAACGGCGAGCCCTGCACCGTCATGTTGACCGTCACGTCGGCGTCGGGGACGGCGTTGGCCCAACCTACTCCCGGGAGAACCTCTAGGGGCTGATTCGCGCGCTTAGGGCTGCAGGGGTAGTGCGGGGGCGCGACCTGCATTTACCGTCGGGGCACATTAGCATTTGACTCTAGGGCTGGTGGGTGATAGATGGACGGCTGCTGGGCTAGGGACTACTGACTGAGTGCATGGAGAACGTCCCCTCGAAGCCCAAGTGGCTCGCCTCCAGCGTGACGAGGTAATCGGACAGGTCCGGGCTGCCGGCCCAGGAGGCCCCCGTGCCGGGCCAGCGCCCGCTCGACCCGTCGCCCATGGTGGCCACGAGGGCCGCTTCGTCGGCGAACAGGAAATCGGCGAAGGTGGTCCCGTTGGCGAAGGTGCCGGAGATCTGCACGAAGTCCACGTTGGTGAAGTTCTCCGTCACGCTGAAGCCGGACCGGTTCGCCTCGAGAAAGAAGACCACGGCCAGCGAGGAGACCCCGTCGCTGCCGATCGCGTCGAAGTACCACCAGTCGTAGGTGGTGGCGTTTACGGTTTGGACTTTGGGGCTGTCGAAGGCGTTATCGCACGAGGTGAAGCGGCCGTTGGCTGGGCCGGCTTGCACGGTGGTTGGGAAGGTTTGGATACCTGGGAGGCGCGGGCAGACCTGGGTCGACAGCGCCGGTCCCAGGAGGAGAGGGAGGGTGAGGAGGTAGCTGGTTGATGAGACCATGTTTTCAGAACTTTGCTTAGTGTTTTGAGAGACTGTTGCTTGTTTGGAGGGAGCTGGTGGGTGAGGACTGGTGCAGCTATTTATCTTCTGCGTTAAGGTCGAGCTCTCGCTTATGGGTCTACCCTGTCGGCACCCGCCAATTCCTATGATGATCTGCATCAGAATGCTCTGGATCTGAAGTCGGTTGGTGCCTAGTTCATGGAATTGACTGTTTTTCAGTGCATGGGCCTATTCTAGCATATGCCTTCTATCGATCATCCTACCTCATATTGGGAAATCGAGCATACACAAGCACAAAAGTAGTGACTGCATGAACTAATGCACTGCACAACTCCATCAGCGGAAGTATGCGTCATGTTCCATGGCGCCCTTCTTCGGCCTCATTACCATCATGGTTCGTTTTTAGAATATTGGATTTATCTCAGGTATGGCTCACAGCTGCGGTACTTGCCGATAAAGTTTCTTTATGAACTATGCACTGATTATGCCCTTGTGGTTCAGATTGTGCAGCTGCCGGCCTCTCAAGCACTGCATCTATGAGTGGTTCCGGAATTCCGGGCAGGAAGTAGGGTTCGGATGAGCGGCTGCCCCCACTTGCGACTCGCAGTTTCGACGTCGCAGACCCACCCGTGCCATCTTCATCTCTTGCCACATCCGGGTCAGCATCTATGTGCTGCATATTCGACTTATTATCGACTTAAATATGGCGCTGGCGCCTAAGTAATCTCAGAGTCCTTCTGCATCGGAATTTGTTCGTTTGTTCTTGATTACTCAAATACACTAGACCACCATGACGTCTCGCTCATTGCTTATAACCGGGGTTTCTGGATACATGTAAGTCATACCTTGCCGGACAATCAAGAAAGTATCCGAATCTCAACTGCCACAGTGGCGGGACAATTCTCTCCTCCATCCTTAAAGCTCAAGAACAATGGAGCAAACAGCTGGAAATCGCCGCACTGGTGCGAAGCGAGGCCCAAGCCGGCACGGTCCAGAAGCTGGGCGTCAAGCCGGTGATGTTCTCAAGCTTCGATGAGACAGATCTATTGGAGAAGATCGCCCAGGACTTTGACAGTGAGCTCACCCAGTTTTGGTACACTATGTGACCTCTAACCTTGAACTCAACTCACACCTCTGCTCACAGTTATCATCCACGCCGGCGCAGGCTGGCATACCCCGTCCGCCAAAGCCCTGATCACCGGCCAAGGCACCCGAAAGGCCAACACCAACCGTCCAGTCCACTACATCCAGATCTCAGGCACCTCCAACCTGAGCGACCGACCCCACACGGACGGCTACATGGACACCCACCGCTTCTCCGACGAGGAAGACATCTACTCCTTCGAGAAGTACCGCGAGTCACGCGAGGCCTACCACCAACGTACCACCGACATCGCCGTCATCGAGACCGGCGAGGCGGTCGGCGTGACCACGTACATCATCATGGCACCGACCATCTACGGCCAGGGCACCGGGCCGTTCAACCGCTACTCCATCCAGCTTCCAGCCATGATTGCCGACGCCATCGGTTCTGGTGCTGTGAGCGTCGTGGAGCAGGGAAACACCATCTGGAGCCATGTCCACGTTCAAGACGTGGCGGGCTTGCATGTGACCTTGCTGCAGAAGATCTGCACGGAGGTTGAGATCCCGTCCGGACGGAGGGGCATCTACTTCTGCGAGACGGGCGAGCATACGCACGGGGAGTTCTCGGAGCGGTTGGCGAGGGCAGCCCATGAGCTGGGGGTGTTGCCAACGGCTGAGGTCAAGGAGATTACCCTAGCGCAGGCGGGGGAGAAGTTGGCTCTAAGCAGTGTCTCGCGGGCGGAGCTGTCTTTTGCTGCGAAGTATGTTTCCTCCCCTTTATGGTGTTTTGTCTAGAATAAGAGGTGCTAACTCATGCTTTCTATCACTTTTAGTGCTCGAACCAAGGCAGTGCTGGGTATTAAACTGGGTTGGACTCCGTTGCGTGGCGAGGAGTGGGAGACTACCTTCCGTACGGAGGTTGAGGCATTCATCAAGAATCCGCCACCTGCACGGGAGATTCCCAAGTTCCTCAAGAAATGAGCTAGAGAGCAAGTCAGTCAGCCTTATTTGATGTGCACATTAACTGCATGTACCTACATTGCAGGTCGAATTTGCAGTTGCAACAGTTATTATCCGACCAGTCTCCAACTCCTACTACGGCAGTTGGCGCACTGTACATAATTTTAAGAGCGTAGATCTCCCATCCTGCGTCAGAATCTTTCTTCTCTCAGGTTGAGTCATGACAGGCACTAGTCATCCATCTGTGCCTTTCTATGCAGCCTGGATCGCAAAGTTGCACAATAGGATTCTATGCACATAGTGTCGCATTAGGCGTGTATAGTATCTCACGTGACGTGTTATGCAGTCATCGATCGCGGTACGCCGCGGCCAAGAACTTGGCCACCCCGGATTCCGGACATCCTCTTCGATATTCTTCGCATGCTACTGCATCGATCCATATCAGATTCAGAGGCTCAAACTGCTGATATATGTGACAGCTCGTCGGGGTGGTCGCAAATCGCTGGGTCACTTCTCAACCCCAAAGAGACCTAGCCGGTAGTAATGTCACAGGTCTCCCCCTGGGCCCCTCAATTTATTCTTCGCCCTAAACCCCACCAGGGGACCATCACACAATGAGCACCGCCGCAAAGGAGCGAAAGCGAGCAGCAGACCGCGAAGCCCAGCGCCACAATCGCGCTCGAACCAAGGCCTATATCGCCTACCTGGAAAAGACCCTCCAAGATCTATCCAGCCCCAGCGGGGAAGGGCAAAACACCCTCGGCCACCAGATCGCCCAGCAGCAAGAGAAGATCAACCACCTCCAGGAAACCCTCCGCAAGATCGCCAGTCTCGCCCAGGACGCCGCGAATCCACTTCCTACTTCATCCTCAGCTACTTCGAATCCAGCCGGGCCACCTTCCGGCCCACCTCAGCCTCTAGCTGAGGAGGAACCCTTTCCCACCGGCGCATGCAACGTCCTTCCCGCGGCCACTGGCTTCTTCGGCTTAGATCTGATCTGCTCTGACCGGGAGCGGAACTATCTCGCGGTGCTGGGCAGCGCCGTGACGCTGGTGCAGTACTGTTCCCCTGGTCTGTCGGAGAACCCGAGGTCAGGATCAGCAACCGACGACGACTTCTGCATTCGCGCCGTCGTCGACGGCTGGAAGGTCGCCACGACGCGAACCGAGGCCGATGTGGTTTGGAGTCTGCTGCAGGCGATCGATGAGGGCCTGTTCTACCGGACAGATCCCGTGACGCGGATTGCGCTGCTGCGGATCATGAGACCGATGCTGTTGGTTCGTTTCCGTCGCCTCCCTGGTTTCTATTCGCTTGCTTACGCGCCTCAAGCAGAGGATAGGCATTGTCCACGAAGCTTCATCGCTCCCGGGGTATATGCTCGCTACGTAAGTGCGACTCTTGTCTGAAGAGGGTGCTATCACGCCTGGTTTACTGAAAGTCCTCCAGCCCCGTGCAAACGAGTGTTGCGCATCAGCCGTTCCTCGACTTCTTTCCGTGGTAAGCAGCGCGATCTACACCGACTTCTGATGTCAGTCCTGATTTCCCGATAGGCCACAGTTCCGAGATACCTGGATCCTGAAAGGTATGGAATACGCGGACGAGAACTGCGCCGCGTCGTTCGGCACCCGGATCCGCTTCGAGTGGCCGTACGAGCTCCGCGATGTGTACAAGAGAAACGTCCTGGGCGAGACGGTGTCCTTCTCCGCGGAATTTGAGACCCGGTACCAAGATCTGCGCAGCTGGAAGCTTGATTCGGAAGGGGACTGGCTACAGTGGTCGTCGGAGGGGTGTTCAGTCCTGCCGGAGGGGCTACCATCGCTTTCGCTTTCGGGGGATGCGTATGATGAAATCTGAAAATTGGCAAGCTTGGCAAGCTTGCGAGACCAATCGCACCCAATCACCATATCTGTCCGATTATCACGCAGGTTCCAGACATCTGAATGTGGCCTCCCAACACGACTGGCCAAGATGTGCCCTTCGGCCCGCCTCCTGATCTCAGGTTCTCTGGAATCCCCATGCGCCGCATCACCTCCGGGAGATCCGTTTGCGAGGGGGTTGCATTCAGAGATTAAATTTTCAGTCCAGTGCCGCCCAAGCACTGTGGCTATCATCCATAGGTGCAGACAACCCTCTTTCTTGACCCGTTATCAGAATTCGACCTCGCATTTCTGGTTAGATCTTACCTGTCAAGGAAAGGAGGAACGGTGAATGAGAATACAGGGTGACGGCGGCCTGCGGCCTTGATCCCTGAGGTTGCTCGCTCACCGCCCACCTCGGTGGCCTTAGCTAGTTCTCCCAGATAGCCTGACGTAGTCAGAATCCAAGCATCTTCCATCTCTCGGGAGCCTCATGATAAGGGAGAAAAGAGAGAAAGCCGAGGGATGAACTGTCTACTCTGGGACACTAACCTTCTTAGATTTCAATCGCGCTTGCCGATGACGTGGTAAAGGCGGCATTACTCGCAGCCCGCAGCGGCCGGGTACCGATGATAGGAGCTCTCGGCCCTCCTCCATGGCAATTTCGATTGGTCAATATTCGTAGTTAGAGCTAGATAAAATGTTTCCGAATATAGGAAGCGGTCGGTGAAGAATGCTATCTTGACTGTCAATCTTAATGTGCAGGTATCGCCCGAAAAGTCTAGGGCGGCCGGGCACCACGTCCGCGGCATCAACAACTTTCCGATCAGGACCAGGGCTCGATCGGCATGTCCCGGAAGGAACTAGGATCAACGATGTCATTCAAAAGAAAATGTTAATTGGGGAATGAAAAAGACGTGGTTATATCGCCACATACATTCGAACATCATGAGCGATGTCCGCCGGAACAGATAAAGAAAGAGACATAAAAAAGAAGCGTCCAGGGAGAGGATCGAACTCTCAACCTCACGATTAACAGTCGTACGCGCTAACCAATTGCGCCACCCAGACGATTTGTTGAGACGCCCAGTACCTGGAGGAAATATGAAGCGTGTCACCAAATGTGCAGGAAAAGAGGCAAAAAGCAACGTCCTAGGAGAGGATCGAACTCTCAACCTCACGATTAACAGTCGTACGCGCTAACCAATTGCGCCACCCAGACCACTTGTTGTGTTATCCGTTGCCCTTGCAAAATATATGATTATGATGTACCGGTGACGCCTGGGCGCTACTACGATATCATCATTCTCTCTCATTGTAGACACAGCACGCGCTCGGACATGTATTTCTGGAAGAGCCGACCAGGAAAATACAATTAGCTAGGCCTACTACACCTCTCAGGAACAAAAGTTACCGGGGTGGGCGGTGAGTCGATTGTTATCCCATCTCTACGTACTTTGTCGTTGGTGGAGACTCCGGATTATATTTATTCTCGAGGGTCTGGCATCCGGAGTAGAGACGATAATGTCCCACTGTGTGAGGATCTGACACAGGACCGGCAGGCTACAGTCACACTGGCGCCTTGATCTGATGAAGCTGTGTCTTTCCCTCTCAGCTGCCTTTCCTCACTGGCAATCTTACCAGGACTAAGCACTAGTTAGTCACCACGCAGCGCATCGCAACTGACGATAGCTCACGGGCAATTCCTAGGAGCAAATGGTGACATACACATAAGTATCCCGTGTTCAATGTAATTAATAATGGCAGAGCCACTGAATCCAAAGACAAGGCAGAAAATGATCATGACAATGCTCGAAGACCACAGCCTATGGAGGTTCCAGCAGCGTGGCACGTAATTCGGTAGTAGAGGACATATCCTGCCCTTCCCGGCTCATTTAATGATCTCGAGGGGAGTCTCGCATGGCCACCACCATACTATCCTGTACACAATCGGAAAGGGAATACCCGCAGTGTTACCCTCGAGACTTCCCAAGTGCGCCGTAGGACTTTCGCCAGAGCAATACTCATCCAAGCATCACGCAAATGATTTATGGTAGAGTCGTGACCAAAGAAGTGAAAATTACAACGACATAACGCGGGCTTGTTCTTTGTAACAGTTGCACACAACCTTGCAGGTGCATCGCGCGTCTCTCGCCCGAAGAATGCAGCATGCACACGGGACGATCACTGCGAGGTGTCATGCTACGCTGATCCACTGCAGTGGATCGCATGCGATATGCGAGGTTAATGCTTCTGATGCTTCGAAGCTGTTACCAATTAACGACACGCAGTACTGCACTCCGTAGCAGCGTGCGTAGCTTCGACCCCGACAGTGACGAAGCTACTCGAGAAGTTCAGCACAGCTCGACCCCTCATGCGCTCCGATGAGCGATTTCCGACCGGTCACCCTGACGACGGCTAGTGAGAGGCAGGCAGCCCCAGCGGGGCAGTCGGACCCTCTGTAGCTCGATAGTCGATGCGTTAGTCGGTCGATAAATCGGGAGGATCCATTTTTGGGGCTTGACCGCTTCAAAGTGGCCACGTTGAGGTTGGATGCCGCGGTTGAGACGTCTCCCTCGAGGATTGAGGGGTGATCGTCGGGAATGGGCTGATAGGTCGATACACCGCTATCTCTGTCACAGAGGGAGGGGTCAGAACTAAGAAGCTTTCACTGCGTTCAGTACCTCCGTAGACAGCAAGACCAAGATGTGCCGTGTTATGGAGTGTCAGGACTCAGGAGTCTAAGTTCTGGACCGAAATCTGCCAAGCCACCGACCCCTTCGCATCGAGTCTTCCATGCCTTCCACACCGCTTCGCTGGCCCCATCGTGGGAGGGGTAACCCTCGTCGGGAAATTGGGTGATCTGGCGTGTGCCGATCCCCCTCCTCGCGAGTCAATTCGGAGAATTTGCTCGTATCTGGCATAAGGAGCACAAAGTGATGTCGATGATCGCGAGCGCATGGTCGATCTTCGACTCTGATGACGGCAGGGACAAATGATTGTCTCTGTGAGAATGAGCTCACCGAAGCAAGAGTGTGGCGGTGCAGATGGGTCGGTGGCTGCAATGGCATCATTTCAGGGGGTGTTACTGTTGAGGGAGCTGGCAGCGCATGGAGGGGCCGAGCCGGAGCCTGTGACTGGCTAGGTATGGTGGATACCCACAGACCCATGATACTGTCTCGTATTGAGGGCTACCGGCTTAGTCATGTATTGTTGATGCGAGTGCGGGCTCGGGCCCCACCGACCTCAGCCACGGATTGCCCCCAAGACCCAATGAAAGCTGCCAAGGAACAAAAGGAGCTTGTCTTGTCTTAGCTTGCTTTGCCAATTTCCAATGATTTCTGGCGTGGCGGGCTCTCTGCAGTGACCGTTCAGCCACTTTCGTCGGTCTCCAGTGGCGCCCAGAATAGCAGCTGAGCTGCTACAGCTGAAACTGGAGGTAACTCGATCTGCGCCCCTCCATGATATCACCGCCTCATCGTCGACCCCCTCCCCCCTCCCCCCTCCTCCTTCCCCTCTGAAGGAGAGAGGGGCGACCCGAAGCGCCGTCAGAAAACATATATCTACCCCTCTCCCACCCCCCTTCAAACTCCTTTCTCTTTCTCATCCATCAATAACTTTCTCTACCCCTCTACCACATTTTCCACACAAACTATCATCATGGGTTGGTTCGGTACGTGGCCTTGACAGAATCTCTCCTCCTTCCACTCAATCATCAGACACTAATTTTCTCACTCTTGCTTCAGACTTCGGCAGTGACGAGCACCAGGCTCACGAGGAGCTCACCAACTTCGACGGTTCCGAGGAGCACAAGGCCAAGTTCAGCCACGAGCTCATCGCTGGTGCCGCTTCCTTCGAGGCCATGAAGGCCTACGAGGAGCACCAGGAGCGTAACGGTACGCCCACACCCTTCCTCCTTACACCTCCTGCTTCGCGGCTTCACCGAATGCTAATAATCCTTCGATGACATAGGCAAGCCCGAGAGCCACGAGATGGCCAAGGAGCTCCTTGCCGGCTTCGCTGGTGCCTTCATCGACCGTGAGGTTGAGACCAAGGGCTTGGACTTCATCGACCGTGAGAAGGCTAAGCGCCAGGCTGAGCGTCAGCTGGAGGAGGCCTCCCGCCAGGACTACTACTAAACAAGTCAATCTGTTGCCAATACTTTTGTGAATTGAGATATCCAATCTGAATATATTTTGTTGAAACACACATTGTGCTCTGCTGTAATTGTGTTGAACTTTGGTGGTGGACAGTATGTTGTAGATTTCGCGGAGTTGCGACAACTGCTTAGCCTCTCTCCTGATCGGCAAAGAACTTACCCGGATGACGCTCGCCCGTAGATTGATCTCCCCCAGGGTAATAATCGGTCGATGGCTATGCAAGACTGTGAAGCGAAAGGCAGAAAAGACCGAGACTTGTTTCAATTCAACCACCTCCAATCAACCTGTCGTCGCCGAATCCCAAGCGAAACGCCTGGGCTTCCGGCCGCATTCGCCAGAAGCGGCAAGCGCCGCTGGTGTCCACGGTCTGGTACGCAAGACACGTCTTGTGCAGCGCAGTTGACGACGGTATAGAGATAGGCATCACATGCACGCACCGACCACCAGCACGACCTTCAGGTCAGAGAATGGGAGTCGGCGAGAGTCCCGCGATGCTGCTTGACCTTGCAAGTTTCATCGTTGGCTAGTCTAGCCCTCAGCTTGCATGATCGGACAATGACTCACTACCGACAATAACCATTGTGAAAATGACAACGTTCGAAGCCACGCCATCGGATCATGATCCACACCCACAAACAACGGGGGAAGGCATTCGGAGCGCGAAGATTGCGGGTCCCCGGAGACCTGAGGTTTATTCATGGCTGAGCCGGTTCTGAAGGCGTAGGTTTATTTGAGTTGGCATGCATGAATTGGATTTCTGTTGCATAGTTGCCGTCGGATCCTGGGAGGTTGTCATGGCTCAATCCTGCAACTCTACCCTTTTATCCTGCATGAGCTCACAGCGGAGCACAAAAGAAATCGACACTAACTGAGCCCTACGCAGAAACATCTGGGTGATTAACTGCGGTCGGATGAAAGCGAATATAATGAATCACTCAGAAAGCGGCCAGATAGACACCGTCAGACGTGACAGATCGAAGGTGGTGATGGTAGAAAGGCAGGAAAGAGCCGGGGTGAACAGACGAAGAGGTCTCTCGACGGCCCGCAGGTTTGACAACCCGAGTATATGAGCATTCCGGTCGAAGCGAGACCAGCGACCTGTTGTGAGCTTGGCATTCTTAATGAGCAACGGGCCCTTGCGAACAATCCTTGTGCCGCCTCTGGTTATTTTCAGGTCTCTTACTGAAGGCATCGGAGCGGTGCAGGGGAGGCCAATCTCGACAAGGACTGGATTTAGCTGTGCAGCAATTCCGGCTGCTATGCCCCAAGAGGTAAACAAGAGCTTTACGTGGTATACGAGGAGTAGGAGCGAGACGATTGGAGACTGCGTGATCGGAAGGAAGGGTTTGGAAGGTAACTGTATCGCACTATGCAATCACGGGATGCATCTCATCGGCGGTTGCCGGTGCCTGAATATTCCTGTTGGACGCAACTGTAAGGGGATAACAATTTGGATCTTCTTAGTTCTCCATGAAGTCACCGACTGGAGTCAGCCGGTTATCTTGTGCATCAGAGGTGGAGTTTTGTTGATCGACGGTCGAGCGTTGAGATCATCAACCTCAGATTATGCCGTACATGGTAACGCGTAAGAGCATCCATGATAAATTCAAATCATATCAGGTTTTCTTGATGATAGAGTGGTCTAATGGCGCGTTTCGGAAGATCGAAAGACGTGACTTGAAGCCAAAGAGAGAGGGGGGAGGGGGGAGCAATTCTTATAAGCAATTACACAACAAGTTCCCTGGATGGCTTTGTGTACTTTGCAGTGTTTGACCGCTGTCAGACCAGCAGTGGTCATGCGCTATAGTTTTCTGGTTTTCCAATTAAACCTGAGAGTGTCTTAGTCTGACCATCAACAATCGCACAATGAGACGAGTTCATCGAGTTAGTGACAATAGCGAAGACCTACGGGTTCTGTCTCCTTTCCGTGACAAGGTGATAGACCAGATCGATTTGCTCGATGTCGTTGGCAGCAGCAACCCTCTTACAGTACCAGACCTCCATACCCCGGATTATTGGATCAAATTTATCCCCTGGGCTCGGAATGCATTCTCCTCGTAGGTCAATGTTTCTTCCTCTAGATGGACCATGTGCGAACATCCTGTTTCTTGGCGCGGAACACCCAGTTTGATACGCCGAAAACAATTCCGAGCTCTACCGTCTCTCTTCGGATTCAATAGGGTGAGCCTGGACTTGTGGAAAGCGCCAGCGATGCCCCATTTGTTTCTGTTCCTGAGAACGCGAGTAGTTGGAACATTTATTATAGGATATTAAATGAAGACAACTGACAGTTACGGGAGGGAGGTTGTTCAAGCGCAAAGTGCGCAAGGGGTCTCGAAAAGATATCAAAGTGGCTCGATTCGCCCATGGAGACAACTCCTTCATCCTCCATAACGGATCAAATTTGAGGTATAATACATAGATCGGAAGAGGATAAATTCTAGCTCAGGGTGTGATTCGAACAGTCGAAATCTTGGCTTGACAATCACAGGAAGAGCCGCTAGAATCCTGAGGATTTCAGACCCGACTCGAAGCCAACGGAGAAGTACCCGCGGTTTTGAAACTAGGAGATAGAACGTTGATGTTCTACGTTCTCTAGATAAGAGTGAAAGAGAGATGAAAGGCAGGAACCTGCTATACGACAGACAGCTGCATTTTCCGTCACGGGTTTAATCGGTTAGAAGATGATGAGATGAAGATGAGATGACATCTCTCTTGGCTGTGTGTGGCTGAAGTCCTCGGATCATGTTAGAGTAAGTCAAACTCTAGAAGTGTCATAGTAAGCGCTGATTAGTTCTGTATGTACCATGGACCGCACGCCCCCTGGCATACTCCCGCAATCGATCTACGCTTTGTAAGCACTACTGCGCTAGATAGGATTGGGCTTACTGCACCATTTTAATCCCAAAGGCGGGAGCCAGTGACTACTTAAGATGGAAGAGGTCTGAATTCACAGTGAAAACGAAGTGAGTGGGAGAAGCAATCCTAGGGTGTATAATGAGTGCTCGGCTTTCCATCCCCACGGTCCCGCGGCCCAAAAACAACAACTTCTTCTCCGTTCTCCCCGAGCATAGAGTCTCCTCCATCTTTGGATCTTCATTGTGTATCCTATTCGAGATCTCTCCATCGTTCTTATTATCATCATTCTCAGCCTGATTACTTGTTTCCTCATCACTGCTGCAAACACAATCGAACCACAACCACTTCCATTGTCAACACCATGGTAAGCTAGCCAGTTCTTTTACCACCACCCTAAACCCACTGGCGACATCACCAGCTTATAAGTACTGACGGCAACAAGTCCAGGGCGATCTTCCCACAAAGGAAATGTGAAATAAATGCCTGATCTGCAACGGCCTGGGTCACAACAAGAAGGACTGTCCGGGCATCCTGTTCGCCGAGGGTCTGATGGAGCTGGTAAGTATTTTCGTCTATCATCCGTCATTAGAGTAAGCTTTGCTAATACACTCATGGCTTCAGGGGGGTCAAGCTCGAGGACGTAAGAGGACGAAACGACGTGAATACTGGGGAAAGAAGAAGGAGCGTCAGGAGAAGACAACTAAGAAGGACGAGAAGCAGACCATGGAGCAAGAAAAGGAGCAGGAGACGAGAAAGAGTACGGAAAAGAAGGAGCACGATGGAAAGAAGCACCAGAAGAAGCACGTCGACTAGAGTGCATTGCCATCGGAAAGCGATCAATGTACTTTGCTTTGTTGTTTCTCGATCTCTCCCGCTTAACTGGAGATGTCCCGTCGAGATGGACTCTTTTGAAGTCGTGATAATTCGCAAACTTGTCTAATAATCTGAGACTTGTGTTGTGATTGACATGTGCTGGTCTAGCTCGATTACAATTCATCGAGGGCGCCGGAAATCCTAACATCGCTCCGTGAGTGTCTGACGCTATCGACCCCGTTCGACAGACGTGCGCCATGAGCGCTTTACGTAGAATGTCTCACAATAGATATCGAAATCCAGCAGCCGAACGGGGAACTTGTTCAAGCAGTCGCGCGCTGGACCCTGTTGTTCTGGCTGTCTTCTGCATTACACCCACCCTGACCTGCTGAAGTAACAATCATGATGACAGATACGAGTTCTTCATCCTATTTAAGTTCTCTTACTGGTTGAAATGGATGTCGAAGAGATCAACTAACAAATGCGACCAGACCAGAAATGCCAAATTCATTACCCGTCGCCGCCCATGCAGCCATTGCAACTCCAAAGGGCCTCTCAAGAAATTGCCCCGGGCTAAACACAATATTGAAAGTGTAGGGATAAATAGGCTTAGCCCAGCTTAGCCCACAGATCTAGTGCTGGACGAGCCTCGGAGCAAGATTACAATCGAGAAGGCTAAAACTCAAATGAAGCACATTGCTCATATTCCGAACGCGGGAGCTCTCTTCACAATCGCTAAAGCCATATCCACCCCTGCGGGAGTTTTTGTCAAGGCTATAACCACGTCGTTAACCCATTACTGCGGTAGCTTCTTATAGCGAGCACAGAGCATATTTTTGATGAGTCAAACTGTGGTTCTGAGGAACACAAGGTTCCGAGGACCAGCCATTTAAAGTCACCCTTTGTATTGGTGAAGTTCTCCGGTCTAAAACCTTCACATAATTAGGGGCATTTGTACTGATAGCATGATCTCATGTGGAGTAGACAAGTCGACCTGGGAGAAAAAATAACATAGGAGATAGATATCCCCGAGACTAACTCTACCAAATCGAGCCTCTCCGATATAGGGTTAGTGTGGTCCGACTGAGTCCCAGAAGATACTAGACAGGAGCGGACTTTATCAAGCTCTAACAATGTACAATTATCAAGAATCAAGGACTACCAGATCATCCAGCTCGAACTCTACCTTCCACCCCTGGGCCTCCGGCTCCAGATATCCGTGTACACCGTGCTCCATAATGCGCACCCAGTGGTGCCGAGAGCCGTAGGCTGGGTAGAGAAACTTGTTGTTCAGCCGGGTTGACTCCAAGAGCTCGAGGATGGGGAGGTATATGCCCAAGCTATATCAACCTTATTAATGAAGAATGCCTTATTAGAAGACAAAAGGCCAACTGGAGAATCTTAGCAAGAAGGAACGTACGGTTTATTGTACTGCGGCGGGCCCCTGATGCCCGATTCGGCAATCTTATTAAGATCCGTCCCTAAGACTTGCTCGAAGGCTATGGTATAGCCTATATTCTAAAGCTGACAAAGGATCAAAACGCGGATGTGTCTATTGCAGGCAAACTCTACTATAATAAGACATCCGGTGGCCATTTCCGCCGCATTTATTACAAAACATGTGAGGTCCGGCCCGTTGGTATACACTATTATATCCTGATGGGTAATGAAGATGGCGCGAAAATCTTTTAGGCAAGATACAATACTGGAAGAATCTTGTTAAGAGTAGTAATAGGAGTGGCGGTTAGAGAACAAGTAAGCAGCTCTAAAATATAGTAGCGGGAGGTATTATCCGCTTCTTACTGATTAAAGGAGTACCGTCTATTTTATTTATCTTAATAGATGTATAATAGAACAAGGAACTTTATAAGATGAATGTACTCGCGCGGATGGATCTGCCGATCTACCGGGGCCAGACATACGAAGCGTCTGTACGCATCTAGGCCGGGTAGTCGAGAGCCGAAGTGTATCCTGCGGAACAACTATGGTAAGAATGTGCCAGTGTTAAATTCAACCTTCTTTGTTTCTCCTTTGCATCCATGCTCAAGTGCTGCAGGAAAGCAAGATAGGGAGAAGCAAGAGGAAGACAGGTGAGAACACATGGAGAAACCTGGGGTGGTACGGACATCGCGGAACTCTTGGCTTGCCGTGGCTGCCTACGTGGAGCTTGAGGTGTACGTCTACGGTAAAGGCCAGTATAAGTTGGTAGCAGATTCCTACTCGCATCACACTAGCTTAGGCTTTTACTTCAGTGGAAGACGTCCAGTCTACTGCAACACGAATTCAGCCTTATGAAAGTGCTTCTGGACAACCTACGGAAACACGTATACATCGAGTATATAAATATTGAATATAAAAACACGCTATAAAAATATCAGTAAGTACTCTCTTTGTCCGTCTCGAGCCATGGGCCCTTCCAAAGAAATCGGAGAGAAACTAAATAAAGATAGAATTAGTTCAGAAGACCGAAACTGTAATAGAATGCACGAATCTTCTTGCCCGTCAGAAGATCTGTATTTTATTTTGTCTATTTATTCTCAGCTCTGCTTCTGTCTGGCTTTATAATCATCAAGCAGAACACGTACAAGAACTGTAAGTAGTATGTCTGCAACAACAGCTGCCCCAAAAACAAAATTCAACTCACACAGCGGACTAGGCATAGACTAGTGCGAGGCTATCGGTTCATCCATGGATTTGTGATCCATCCATCTATGATGCTTCGACCCACATTCATTTCCTATTTAGATCAAACATTTCGTCAAAATTTCCTGAATCCAACTTCACGAATCGTGATAAACATGGCAAAGGAACTTTCAGCCAACGATGCAATCCCCAGCGGCTGACGGACCCGCAAGCCTGGATCCACCATCTGGCTTGTTATCGCTGGCTTCCAAGCGGTACTGGAAGCTATTTGGTACAGCATCTACTACATCCCCGACTCGCTGTGCCCGAGTCGAGGTGGACCTATTGGCAGGTTTTCATGACCCTGGTGCTCGAGAGATGCTTTCATACCGTCGCAGAAATTGGCTTCGCACAGTCCTTGAGCCTTGAGTTCGGCAATTTAAGCGATGATCAATGCGTGACAATCGAGCCTGCACCCGCCTCGACGTATCGCGGCCCCTTCACCACCACCACCATTCCCAACAAGGAGGCAATCAAGCGCGAGAACGTCGGTGGGACTTGGTCTTGCTCACTACCCACAAAGCATTTGAGCACCGAAATCTACAGTCTGGTGGTTCTATCGTTCCTCTCCTGCTCCCTTCTCTGGATGACGGGCGGCTCGAAGACTCCGGGGCAAACGCCTCCCTGCTCAACATTACCCACGCCTTCTGGCTGCGGTACCGACTGACTGGCGGAAACAGCCCCACCCCTATCCAGGCGCCATGCTATTGAAATCCACGAGGCGGCTGCGAGGCTCGTGAGGGGGTTGCCAGGCTAGGTAGGACGGAACTCACACTACGGCATGCACGTCCAGCAGCATGAGCTGGGATGTTTATAGGTTTTGTCCATCTGTACGCGCAAAAGCAGCATACCACTGCGGATTGTGAACGGATTCCGGTCAGCAGGAAAGATCGGCCGGCTCACTTGGAAAGAGACAGTACTTCATCTTCTTCTTGGTATGGCCATGACATGAGCCCGCGTAGAATTTTGGTCGTGGATACATAGACACTGACTCAAATGTGATAAGCACATACGACCACAGGGTGTGGAAAACAGGGCTTCCCGTCCGCTCAGCCGTACTTAAGCCACACGCCGGGAGGTTAGTAGTTGGGTGGGTGACCACCAGCGAATCCCTTCTGTTGTATGTTTTTTCTTTCTCTGAAATGTTTCCTAGCGAGCGAAACTTGACAATAACTTATTCAGGAATGTTTTTCACTGCGTAGTTTGACTCTGATTCTAGAAAAGGCTTTGGGACTTACAATTGATTGAAGGCCGAAGAGCCTAAAGGGGCCTCTTTAAAACATGCAATCTTGTGTAAAAAGAATACGTTGTATACTATATCTTGATCTCATGGTATAACTCCCTCGGCCATTACATATCGCATTATGTCAACTTGTCAAGGGACTCCAATTTATGACATAGTAACATGACTAGGCCCTGTTACAGTTAAAAAAAAGAAACAAAATAAAATAAAGGTGGGAAACTCTATTCTCTTGCAGGTGGAGATTGGTGTCGGGCCTTGGCGTACCAGCTGAGTGTAAAGAAAACAAGATTACGAGACTTGAGCTTTATAACAGAGACGAGAACTCGGCACTATACATTTTCAAGGTTATATTGTAAATAAGATGCAGCTCAATCTAGCAGCTGAGTAGGATATAGATGATACGAATATCACTCATAATGCAAGCCTCGGGTTGCTTTCGTTTCCAATTGCCTTCACCAAATTTTGATCCATTTTTGCTTGGCACAGTGCTGTTGCAGCATAAGGTAGGATCTCTTGCGCGTCTAACCACAGAGGCAATGCATCAATTGATCTGACACGCACGAGGTAGTTTAGTCCAGGCCGCGCATAATGTCAGCCAGAAAACTCCGACTTCCCAACGGCAAAGATCGACTTAAAATCCTCCACATCTCGCAGGCTGATGTACCTTCGCACGATTCAATACAGTCACCATGTGGTCTTAATCCATTTTAAAACCAAGCAATCGAATTTTTTTGAAATAGCCCCGGTAACTTATCCGTATGGACGGGCAATCTGGAGACCGTCATCACGGGACCCGAAACCGTGTATCCGGCTCGTCCCCGAGGCAGGCTTATGGCTCTATACCTCTTTGTGGTTCCCTACTTAAGAGATCCTTTTGGTGTTCTTGCGATCGGAGATTCGGTTTCGGAGGTAGTATAAGAAAGCACCAGGTGTCAGTAAGGACAGCTAATATCATCAAGCCGGGGCTCGGGGCTACCTTGGAAGCGATCTGCACGTTATCTAGTAATCATTGCCTGGATTTGTCCGTCATGCTCTCTGAGATCTCGTACCATTGCGATCGACATGGCAACCCCCATGGCTGCGAGCAGGGAGATACCGGCTGGAAGGCGGACTGTGGGGCTCGCAGGATGGATGAAGGTTGATGCGCCTACAGATAATTCCAACCACCCAATCTATGAGGTCAAGCCAGTTCTCCTTCTTGCTAAGTGCAAATGTGGCTTATACTAGCGATCGGACACTTTTATCAACTAGACGTTTGTTATGTTTGGTATAGTAGGATGACATGATACATACGACCATAGGGTGTGGAAAACAGGGCTTCCCGTCCGCTCAGCCGTACTCAAGCCACACGCCGGGAGGTTAGTAGTTGGGTGGGTGACCACCAGCGAATCCCTTCTGTTGTATGTTTTTGATGATTTTTGCTAGCAGGCTCAATTGGACATAATCAAAATCCCATTGAACTTCGCCAGTATGTACTTGCTGTTGTTGGTAATCTTCTGGGGTTAAAGCAAGCGTGGGAGCTTGCCTGGTATACAAGTTGATTGAAATGCATAGCCGCCCCTACCAGCTATACACAGTACATACAATACACTTCATGAGATCCGCACTATCTCAACTACTCGCTTACATTGTTACACTCGTGATGGTTCGCTTCATTGTCATTATGGTAGTTGTCTAACTAGAGCGCATCAACTCCATCTACCCTGAAACCAGAATTGTGTAGCGACCAACACCACCACCAAGCTACTTGCATCCCATCCCATCCCTTGCACCCGGTGTCAGGAACGTCAAGCCCCTGTCGCATCGGTTATTCTGCGCCGCGAAGTGCAGTTCTGGAGAGCTGCCGGGGAAAGTGACATGGCGGCGCGAGGGTGCCGGCCCGTAGAGCCCTCGATCATACCAGTCCAGGGAGGAGCGGTACTCACAAATAACGATAAGAAGAATGAGTGAATCTAAGAGCAGAGGAGCACATGTGGCGGCCCCGATGAGCAGATAAAATTGCTTGCATGAGTGATGTACTGGCAGAGGAGGGGTGCGTGCAGAACGCTTCAACTTATGCAGGGTAGGATGGCTGAACTTTGTCTCCGGGGTGTATCGAACGGGCATGATGATCGATATTAGCCAGCTTCAGCTGTGGCGTGCGTACTCCAGCAGAGCCACGGAGGACTGTTGGCAGGAATGTGCACGCACTTCCGCCCGTCGTGGTTTCAATCGGTCGCTTTAATACTTTGATTGGCAACTTTGGGTCATGATTACAGGCCGCCGACAGAAACCTCCAGTGACTGGATTGGACTGCAGGCTGACGCAAGTGCAGAACAGGACGTCTGATCGTGTAATGTAGACGGCATGGTGGTTTTGTGCAGCCTACAGGCTACATGCTAGGATTCACTCCCAAGACAAGGACAAGCGGTCGATTAAACTCATCAGGCGGGTCTTCGACATCCACAAACTATAGTTACCCTACTAGGGGCTAATTCTTTGTCAACAGTGCACGTAACTCTGCGTTAGATGGTCACAAAGCTAGTTTCTCGATCTCAAGGTGAATGCCGATTTCCGACCGTGGACGCGCTCAGATCTGGATTCTGTATACGAACGTCACGTCTAGATATGAATCGGCGCGATCATGCAGTACTACTTGTCGCTTTTAACCTACGGAGTACTCTAGAAGTTCTTATGTCAGTAGGTGTGGGTTAGCGGACGAGACTCCTCCGAATTAGGGCTGAAAAATCCATCCTAGCTGGCCCTAGGAGCCCCCTTAGTCGGCCTTTGCCCCCTCTCCTGAACAACATTGGAAGTCTATGGGATGTTTGTGGATAGAATGAGATTTTGTACGATTATCGGATTATTTGGGGGGGGGGCATGACCATTCGTGACCAATGTTGAGATGCATCAGCCACAGAGTATCAGAAAGCTGACGGGTTGAGGCCGCGGATATATACTTTTGTCCGGCAATGTGGCTGAATGACAACCAATATCAGGATACCATACAACTAGGCCTACAATTCACACATTGCTCCACCATAGTAAGATTGTTTCGGAAAGTGTCAATAGTAGACCATCTTAGGTTGGACCCTTTTTAACCAGCAATATTGAATACTTGCAATAACAATGAAATATATACACGCAGAATGCTTGATCAGGTGCGCATTCGAACTCAGGACAAACAAAAACGGAGCCATCACCAAGAACGGGTCGGTAGCTCAGTGGTAGAGCGTAGGATTGCAGATCCCGAGGTCACGCGTTCGATCCGCGTTCGGCCCTTCTTACTTTTTGTCTTTTGCTTTTGCCCAGTCAAACTGCTTCCTCCCTTCTTCGTCATCTGTCCTTTCAATCGATTCTGTTCGTCGACACCAAGATTATATCCCTCTTCTGTCCCAGTGTGCTGTATCTTGTAGCTAACCATCCTTACACCCGACACGAGGCATCGCGACCCAGGACCTTCAAGACATATTTTGGATTGAACCAGTACCAATTGAGCTTCTACTACCCTCTCGCGTCGCCCTGCAAGCTTCATTTGCACCAAACCACATACGGAGTAGAAGCATTACTGCAAATCGCATTGTTTAGACAAAGTATGCTGCCTGCCCTGCATGTTGAGCTTACTCGTCCGCGAGCACGGCCGGCATGGCGAAGCGAGAGCGGAGCGTGGGAGGAAAGTCTTAGCGAGCACCCGATCTATACAAGCATAACCATCCAACTCGTGCCTAGCCGACATGATGATATAAAGACAGGTTTCCTGTTGTTGAATAGTCTTTTACCCAATCCCAACTCACTGACAAGATAACCATCAACGGCAACAATCCAAATCCTCACAATGTCATCCCCAGTCGACCTTCGCAACCCGGGCCGCCCGATACATGTGGGTGTTGTGCTGCTGAACACGTACGTAACCCGTGCACTATCTAGTAGTGCTTTCCATTCTAAGATCTTCCTATCATCTACAGTGTCACCGAGCAACTCGACATCGCCCCAGTAGGCTTCTTCTCCGGCCTCGATCGCAATTTCCTGAAGGACATGCCCACCGAGATGATGGACGATGACTCCAAGGCCCAGGGATTTGATTTTGTGTATCACTGGGTCAACGAGGATGGCAAGACCCCCGCTAAGCTGACGACGGGTATGAATGTATTGCCTACGGTAAGAATGCCCTTACACACACCCTGAATAACGTCCAGCTGACATCCCGTTAGGACTCCTTCGCTACTTGCCCGCCACTGGACATTATCCTTATCGGCGCAAGTAGAATGGGCTACAAAGCCAATGAGGCCGAGAAGGAGTTTCTTCGCAAGAGCTACAATGCTTGCACAGCCATGCTCTGCGTATGCGGAGGCTTCGAGCCGGTGCTGAGTGCAGGGCTTATGGAGGGCAAGACCGCCACGGGGCCACGGTTCCTGCTCCCGATGCTGCGTGAACTCGGGCCGGGAGTCAACTGGGTCGAGAAGAGATGGGTCCAGGATGGGAAAATCTGGACTACAGGGGCGCTGCTGAGTGGGTTTGATATGGTCGCTGCCTTTGGACGAGCGACCTGGGGAGATGGTCCTTTGGTCGGTAACCTTATCAAAAAAGGAGGATTCCCCGAGCGCGACATTGACTATCTGGAGGATTGATATGATGCATGTTTCTGGCTTATGCGCACCGGGAGTTGATGATCAATACATGGATGCTAAGGAGAGGGCTGCTACTGTTACTAATCGTGCTTACAAGGGCTTTATCGCCACAGGAGTCGTTAAAGAATGGAACGTTTTTATCTTTTTGAAAGGGATTGAGATGCAAGGGGGGAGTATGCGTTGTTCAGGTTGAAGTTATTGATGATTCTTATCCGACGCAGGTCATAGACCAGGGTTAACTTACTAGTTATTGTATAAGGAGGGTTCGGCAAAACCTTCCATCCGGAGGGCGGGTTGTCGCTTCCAGTTTCCCTCCGCTTTCCGTCGCTTTATTAATACCCAGCCTACCTTATCCATCTTAGCTACAGTGAAGGTGTGAAGGTGTAGCAACCACGGTATATGAAAGATGTCAACAGAAGATGAATACAAGTTTATGTGTCCTCGACCGCGAAGCACGCGGGCTTGTGAGAATTGCAGATCGCGCAAGATCCGATGTCTGCCGTCCGAGAAACCGTCGAGTGCCTGCCGGAGGTAAGAGCGCACGATGTCATCAGCATCCATTGGAGCCATACTAACGGACAAAGATGTATCAAACTGGGTTACGGCTGTACACTTACCTCGAGCAACAATGAACAGCCATGTGCAATTAACCCGTCGCGGAGCAGTACTAGCGAGATCCAGAATGAGGACGTAGTCGCCTCACTTTTCAGGAACGCGCCAAAACACGGAGATCAGTCTGCCCAGATGTGTGAGCTGCATCGCCAAATGATGCGCAAGCAGCTACTAGGCGACGACACTTCTCATGGTGCTCAGGAGACGAGTCACAGTGCTACCACGCCGCCTCTCACTCAAACCTCGACATCTAACACGGAATACAAGAACCTCCGTGTGAGTATGAAAGAGGCAGATGAGCTTCTATCTCACTTCCAGTCGAAAAAAGTTTACTTCCCGTTCGTGGATGTACCGGAAAACATCTCAGCCGCCTCCATGGCGAAGACCCGTCCCTTCCTCTTCTTAGCGATTCTCACTATATCGGCAACGCGGCGGCCGCTCCTGCAGAGAAAGCTCGATGAGAGATTCCGGCGAGTATTGAGTGAAAGGATTGTTCTCCAAGGAGACAAAAGCCTAGATTACGTTCAGGGTCTCCTGGTCTATCTTGCATGGTATTGCAGACCTCGGCTTTTTATAGTGCGTGCAGTGGCTGACGTTGGTGTGGCCTCCAGGCACCCTATACACATTCGGCCATTGAACAATCAGATGTGGCAGTACGTTCAAATCCTCCGAGGTATGCTGTCGGACCTGAGGTTTGACCAGAAGCTACACGAAACGGCTGCGCGCAATGCCTGTCTCGGATGCTATAACCTGTCCTCGCTGTGAGCCGTCCTTATCTCGGACATCAGAAAGCTGGCTAAACAGATTCCTAGATTTGCTCTTGGCTTTCAGCGACGCAGCGACTCGACGCTGTATGAAATTATAAAGTCTACTATTGAAGGAACTGCACCAATCGACCAAGATGACAGTCACCATACGCTGCTTTCCAAGACCCAGATGCTGTGGGAGACTGTAGCTCGAACATCTGAGCAGGGGGGTGATAATCTCCCCAATTGCTCCCTGTCATTTCACCTGCAGATCCAAGACATAGAGCGCAAGATCCGTTCTGAGACCTCGGAGACAGGTATATTGGGACAAATGCCTGTACCTAAGAGATTTGCTGACGAAGCCAGCTTCGCTACGTATCTCGATACTGTCGCTGAAAGTGGTCACAGCGTATCTCCCTTGGATGGTTCATAGCCCAAGCTCCAGCCGTAAATCATCACACCACACCCGATCATTTGAGTACCAACCATGTGAACATGTGAAGGAAGCAAGATCGTGCCTAGCGGAGATCCGAGGCTTTTTCGATTACTTTCTCTCGTTACCAGCAGGCCAATACATCTACTTTTCCATCAGGGAATGGTGCCAGCTAATTCTTACAATCAGCACTGCCTCACAGATATGCTTTCTCACTCACCCCTTCATGAACACCCAATGGTACGATTTTCAGACTAAGGCGCGATCGACCATGCAAATATACCTGGAAAGCCTCTTACACCGCATGACGACCTTATCCGTCTCGAAGACTGGCGACACACCAGACATTTTCTCCATGTTCAGATCGGTCTTGGATGTTGTTCTGGAAACATATGCTGTCGCCAGGATCAACTCTCCCTTGCAGTCGGATCCGGATCCCTCGGGTACTGAAGGCACGGACTCTCCGAGTGTGGGTGCAACGAGCACGACGTCCAGACGGTGTCCCATGATGAATGGGAGCATCAAACAGACGGAGTTCTGGGAGGCAGTGCAGCAGAGTAACACCCTCTGTGGAGGAGTTCCGGAAGCCAGGAGCAGTGGTCGGTATTCAGGAGCGTTCGGGGCTGGTATGGATGGACTATTCGATGATGCTCAGGATTGGCCGAGTTTGTTTTCCGAATGGGTCAGTTTTACCTAAGTTAGGTTTATTGTGTGCTGGATGCTGCTCGATAACCTCTATAGTGGAGTGTTAATCGTTAGGGTTAGTGCCTTCTAAAGAACATAGAGGGCACACCCGGAACGTCACGATTCCAAATGACATAGCTGGTTATTCTTGACATAATCGCTGTTGGCTCTGATAGCAATATCAAAGTACAAAGACCATTATAAAACAAGCTCTGGACGTCGGAGCTCTGATATTCAATGTGACACATTTACCGCACCCAAGTTGTCTAACTGCCGGTTCCTACACATAGTCGTTCGGATGAAAACATCGAAAGTCATATCAAGTGCCGTTCTCCAGCTCGCAATCGTTGAATTCCGAGTCACATCAGCCTACAACAAAATTAGCAATAGCAATGAAAGGGCTTTCAACATCTTTGAATCGAGCAATGAAAGAGAGAACCTGGTAGGAAGCAAATCTCCTACGTCTGTCTTTTCCTTGCAGATCAACCGAGAAACTCCTGCAGATGGCATCTCGGCTGCGTCTGAAACATCCTCAGCCCGGTGCTTACACCAGAACATGCACAGTACGGAGTTTTCCGAGGAGATTTACACATACTATGAGCAGAGCCGCATACATTGCTGGAGACTTCTTGCTAAATGGGCTCGAGGAAGGACTCCTCCAGTAGAAAGTGTGAGATATAAATAGAGCTCCGACATCTTGATACGTCTTGTCGATCTTTTCATGCAAACCCGACCCGCAAGGTGAAGAACTCCGGCAGTTTGAAACACGCAAGCGTTCTTGCCTTTCCTCACACTTCTACCCACAACCACCACCATGGACCAGAGCCGCTTCATAGTCACCACCTTGGAGCGGGCAGGCATCCCCTACTGTGTCTTCGGGTGGCCGGTGGCCGACTCCTTCGGGATGAGCCACACTATCGTTGACCTCATCGCCCGGCAGAGCCTCGACTTTGCGGGCTTTGTGATCCCGGACCGGTACATTCCCAACGCCTATGCGGCCCTACGCAACCGCGGGGCACACCCCTGCACCCTCGGCCGCGACTGCGTCTCGGTGATCGGCTTTCTCAACCCCCCGACGGACATCGTGCACTGGCACACGCCCAACGAGGAGGCGATGATCCGCACCGGCGCCTGGCCCAGGCTCACCGTGCGCATTTACCGCAAGTCCATGTACATGTGGTTGTTCGCGGACCCGCCACTCAACCCTCGCCCCGACGATCTCTACTACATGTGGTCCGACCAGGTTCGTACGGGTCGCCGCCACCACCACCGCCAGGGCACCGGCTTCGTCATGCCCACTCCGGCCTGCTGGACCGAGGCCCTTGTCGTCCTGCACGCGCGCGACTTCGACGAAAAGGATCGCTACATGCTGACCCGCCTCTGGCACCGCGAGCTCCTCCGTGTCTGTATGCAGTTGCTGCAGCCTATGCGCCAAGGAGCCCACCCGCTGCTCCTGGAAGGCGAGCTGGATCTGCACCTCGTCGGGGTCATCAAGGCGATGCGTGCCGCGCTGATTGCCGGTGATCCCGACGCTCACTCCGACCTGGTCGAGGCGGAAATCCGCATCGTGCGCGCGCAGCTCCAGAACGATGAGCCGCCTTGCCCTCCGCCCCAGGGGGTGACCTACGACCATGAGGCCGAGGTGGCTTGGTGGGAAGAGTGGGTCGCTGACCGTCGCTCGAATGATGCCGGGGGTGATGACCACATTGTAGGCCCTAGAGTTGAAGAGCTTAGTGATGACGATGAAGACGACGACGATGAGGAAGACGAGGATGATGAGGAAGATGAGTTGTCCGAGGTGGAGTAAGTTTCTCTATCTTGCCTGATCCTCAGAAGCCTCGCTGAAGCAAAAACAGCAAACACCAAAAAAAAACCACATGAGAATGGAGCACGTTAAGCGTGGCTTCTCGAAAAACACCACAACATGAACCAAAAAAAGAAAAAAAAGGAAAAACAAAAAACCAAGAAAACCAAAAAAAAAAAAAAAAAAACCACCAATAAAATAGAAAAAAAAAACGGTTCGCCTTGAAGAAAGGTTCAATCAAATTGCTTACCACAACAACAGTTCCTCACCCCAAGGCAAGTATTCCGATTTCCAAAAGACATTCAAAGAGCAGAGTCATGCAAGCTAATAAAAGAGCTATATACTTTCCTGTATTATATCACAAGTGCAGATATAGGTATTCGGCTGGTGCATTCCAACAAAAGTCCCTGCGGCAGAGAACACCGTGTACGCACAGGTGTGGCTTTCTTTGCAGTCTCTGCAATGCACATCCACATACATTCATTCACCTATTAAGCTAGCCCTAACTCCGCCATCTATGAACATCCATCCAACCATGGTACAGCTTTATAGTAATATCAATCTCTTATGTTGTTAGATTGCATTAATCTCCTTTCCCCGCACTCTTTATCTCCGTGCCACATGTCTCATGTGGGATCCCAGAAAATCCCCCAGCTCAGCACATTCACCACACACGTTGGCATGACAAAGATAGATTGAGATAGAAAGTCCTTCTGCCTGATCACCATGTCTCTGAATCTCTTCCATGACAAACCATCAACTCTCCAGAAACACCCCCGAACTCCCTTCCTTGAAGACCATATCCACCATGATGCGAGATTTCCGCGCACTGAATCTGCTGATACTCATCTTCAGCGCCATCAATGTCATCGCTGTCGGCCTCTTCACGGTCAGTTTTTTGAACAGCCCACGCAACAAAACCCATCAGCCAACAGAATGTCGCACCCTCATTCAAGCCCATCGTTTCAGAGCCCGCAGGAACTTCCTCTCGCCTCATCGCGCGCGAATCCGGCCAAACACCCGACTAGCCTTCGCTTTTGGGATTGAAAACGCCTTTACCACCCCGGACGAAGAGTACGCCACCCATTTCGTCAGAAACGCAAGGAATCTGATCAACCTCCAAGCGCAAGACTGGGAACGACTGGCCAAGTCGCTCCAATCCAAAGCTAACGAGCTCATCAGCACAGCGCACCGCCTCCACCTCGCAAGCGTAGTCCAGTCCCTCTCACTCCGGATCATCCTTACCACACTGCTCAACGCGGAGCTAGACACCCTCCCCGACGCCGAAAAGCACATGGTCTCCCTAGCGCAGGCCATCAACCGCGCCTGGGTGTCCTCCAAGAACGACGTCGACCTCATCGAATTTGCCGATAACCCCGGCCTCCAAGCCTCCCTCTCCGCGCTGTTTCCTACCTTTGACGGAACCGACCCCCGCGGTAACCCACTCTGCTGGATCCTCCCCGGCTTCGAGACAAGCTGGCGCATCAACCTGCGCATTGTCCTGGAACTCCTGCTCAACACGGGCCAGACTCATCCCGACTGGACGGCCACGATGATTGCTTTCGCAGAAAACCCCACGAAGACACAGTTCGAAGCCGCGGGAGCAGACGAAGTCTCCGCCAAGGATGTAGTGGCGGAAGGATTGCGACTGTACCCTCCGACCAAGCGGATCTACCGCGCGTTCGAATGGGAGGAGAACGGTGCGAGACACTCGGATACCTTCGCCGCGGCCGTGGAGGCTTGTCATCTGGCGGGTCGAGTCTGGGGACAAGATGCGCTGAAGTACAATCCGCTGCGCTGGCGGGCTGTCACGGATGTGCAGAAGCAGGCGTATCTGCCTTTTGGCGGTGCGCCGTTCGAGTGTCCCGCCAAGGCGGTCTTTGGGCCTAGGATGATTGCGTTGGTTGTTGGGGTTTTCGTGGGCGTTTTGCAGGTGGGTCACGGTTGGAGGCTGGTTGATAAGGATGGAAATGGGGTGAATGATGTGTTCGGTGGGGAGAGGTTGAAGAATGATCGTGGCTCGTATGAGGAGTTGTTTCTTGTTAGGGCGGCGGGTGGTGTCTAGTTCAGCCGACGCGTGTAGTGTGATTCTGGCGTGTTAATGTGGTCTCAGGATTGCGTGTATCTGACTGTGTTTTGCTTTTGGAGGAGTTGAAGTGTTATCAGACGGTCTGATTCTAAAGCCCGAGTTTATTTTGTCATGTGCCTTGACTGGTGTCTTGATTGAACAGTAAAGTATCTCTATCTCACAGATCACCGGCGAAGATCAGTGAAGGCCGCAGTCTGCCTGGCGCGGTGCATTCAGATGTGGAGAAAAGATCTTTCGGAGGCAGTCGACGCACTGGGAAGGGATTGCCCGACACTTTGTCGAAGATGTAAAGCACCTCGTGCAGGCCTGCCATGAGGTACCTTTCCGCATTGCCATCCCAAAAAGCAAGGTGCGCTTGGAGGCGAGCCGCTTATTTGGGAAGACTTTGGACGAGTGGCACAAACACATCGACACAGCCCTTGGGGAACTGTTGGAAGACAACCGAGCGAGGTCGTTGGTGACCTGCAACCCGCAGTTGCTGTTGGACACGATCTCTGCGGATCAAAGTCAAGGGAAGATCCTTCTAGGTCAAAAGGCGAGAGCCGCATCATAGGATCGAAGAGCCAATGGCACTGACGACACGCAGACAAACCGTCCACAATTTATATCGACCATACTGAGATAGGTGCTTTTCGTGCGTGCAAGACTTCAATCGTACTACATGATCGCCTTGCATCGTTTTATCGATAATGTGGCCATGCAGGTAATCGAGCGGCATGTCTTGGGACCGAAATGTCCGGTGCTGGTGGTGTCAGTTGAGAGGTTTGCCAAGCTGGACGATGGTGAGCTAAATGCTATCACCGGAGAAGACGAGTCTGACGCTCGCATGAGGGCCAAGCTGGAGAGACTGCGCTATCGCTATACCGAAGCTCTCCAGAGATGGGAGAGGTTGGGAATTTTGTAGAGAGCCTCACATTTTGGATTTTCTGACATTTGCTTGTACTTGAAAATGGTAAGAACTCTTGTCTGATCAGAACGATTGCAGTGTATTATTCTTAGCTTCATAGTATCGATACTGCATACTTAACAGAATGGAAATTTTAAGCGGGGTAGACGATCTGCCCGTTCTAAGACTGAGGTAGAGTTTTGAGAAAACGACAATCTATATTCAAAGCAGACGACCTGGAGCAGACGACGCAAAGATAAAAAATAAGAAGATGAAGAAATATTCACCTGACAACAAAGACACCAAGAAGCGCAATCAAGGATATTTTCCGGGGAAGAACTTGTGGTTGCATCCACAGAGATGTCAATGCTGTCCGAACAAAAGCGGTAACCGCAATGCTGCGTTTTCTCATCACAGGGTCAATGTGTGCCATTTCAAGAGTATTTACGGTATGATTCTAGAAGGGAAACATAGGCTCAGCAGCGATAAACAAATACCTGAGAGTAAACACGACTAACTCGAAGTTCGCTGAAAGGGACCAGTGAACCGTGGTTCAACAAACAATCAATGCCCAGAACAAAGAACCCATCATTCGATGTGCCCCAAGCTGTGCATTCACCAGCAGCAGATCCAGACGAGAACGCGGTGCATTGCGCCTTTGTCTCGTCTGACTGCACTTCTGCTTTCTTCGATCCTAGCTGAAACTTCTTCCCTCCACCGCATTGAATCTCACTTTCTTCATCCCCTCACCCCCCACTGGCTGGATGCACGTTGCGCATAGATATGATCAAATCGCAGCGCAGTTTGGCTTTCTGCCCACGCAGTGGCAGTCTTATTCTCTGGGCCATCGCCATGCTTTTGTTATATTGGATATCGCTAGTCTTTGCAAGTCTCTACGGCGGCAATAGAGTGAGCAGCTCTACAGACATCGATTTTTCGCAGTACGCGGTGGTGCAGTATGCAACCAGCCAGCCGGACCTATGCAGCGCAGTCATGCAGTTTGAGTCTCATGATCGTCTGGGCAGCCAAGCCGATAGAGTTTTTCTTTATCCTTCGCACTGGGACCCAGCGAGCGATTCTACGGAGGGCAGACTGCTGCTCAAAGCCCAAACTGAGTATCATGTCAAGCTTCTACCCATCGAAGTTCAGATCCCATCGAATGGCCGTAGTAAGCGCACTAGCTGCCATTAGACAGGTTGAGCAGAGCTGACAAAAGACGCACTGACAGGGACAGAGAGCCTCACCAAGCTTTTGATGTTTAACATGACACAGTACGACCGCATCTTATTTCTGGATGCGGCTGGTGTTATCCTCAAGGCATGCTGCACTCTTCTCACCCGGTCATCTCGAAGCAGAAGAGATCGTTGCTAACTCTAGCCGCAGAATCTTGATGAACTTTACTCGCTTCTTGAAAGCCCGATCGCAATGCCCCGCGCCTACTGGCTGGACTCCGAATACCGTCAGCTCACCCCATCCTTCATGCTCGTACAACCTTCGGAGATAGAATTCAATCGCGTGTGGAAGGCAATCCAGCAGGATGACAATGCCGAATCCGACACAAATGTCCTGAATAACCTCTACCGTGACTCCGCGATTATCATCCCGCACCGTCCGTACCACCTGCTGACCGGGGAGTTTCGAGCCAAAAACCACGCGAGTTATCTGGGCAGTCCCTACGCGACCTGGGATCCCGATGTGGTCCTGCAGGACGCGAAGTATCTGCATTTCTCCGACGGGCCCGTGTCGAAACCCTGGATCAAGACCCCGGTGGCGGTGATGGAAAAGGAACAACCGGATTGTGATATTAATACTGTGACGGGCGCGCTGGATTGCCGGGCTCGTGACCTCTGGTTGGGATTCTATAAGGATTTTGCGGAGAGACGAGAGGTATGATGTCTCTCCCCTGGTTCTGATAACGGTCGAAATGGGCTAATCGATCGCCGATAGATGGTCTGCGGAGCGGAATTCGTGCCCCAGCTTGACCGAGAGGCTGACAGAGTATGGATAGCATCGCAGACACATAATCTATCATTTTCTGGGACACGGAAACTGATAGACCAGGCTATCGACGGTCCTCGTCACGCTATGCTATGGATCCACAATCGCATCCGGCGTCGTGAGTAGTGATTCAAATCGAAGCAAATGCTGGTCCTGG